CTGGATGCAGTCGATGATTCCCGCAGCTGAGGTGGTCAACTGTCTTTGTCGGGACCGGAAAGGAATTTGTGTGCGTTTGCACTGAGGTGCTCAGAGTCAGGCCGCGGTGTCTGCTGTTCACAGCGCCGGGCAGGAGCTTGGCCTGGGCTGCGGTTGAAATGGAATCCACGAATCTGTGATACAACAAGGTCCTCCCAAACACGAACCCCCCACAAGAGGGCATTCCCAAAAGTATCACAGAAGTGGTTGGATGCACCCCAAGTGATCCCGAAGTCTCCGCTTTGCAGAAGGTCCTGGCTTGCCAGGAGAGCATGGCCAGCATTGCGGAGAGCGTGGTGGAGAGTCTTCCCAGCGACTGGGAAAGTAAGTCAGCAGCTCGGCGCCAAAGAAGCGAAGCGAAGCGGCTGACACCCAGAATATGTGCAGTGTATGTGCTCATGCTTTTCTCCGCGGAAGACATATCTGCGATCCCAGGAGCTGTGTCCTTCCGGCGTGCTCAGTCCCCACTGGTGGGGCAAGCTGGTTTGGGACTTTTTGGCCGCTTGGATTGGATTGGCACATACATTCAAGGCGTGTTTGCGGGCTGCACCTGACAGCACTTGAGCCACTTGCTCCAAACCCGGGCAGACAGGGAATCCTCCAGAGTTTGAGCCCATGCTTTTGTTGGTAAACTGACGTGAGCCACAGTCAACTTATTTTTTTTACATGGTTCTGGGTAGACCATTTTAATACCGGATTTTGATTGTGACTCATGTGGTGAACTCTGGACTTCAGCCTTCTGAACTCTGGCATACCGCCTCTTCCTTGATGACACACTTGCAAGGTGATGTTCTTGGTGCTGATGGATGCCACGGTCCTTCCCTTTCAGCTCACCTTCAAGACCAACGCGGAAGAAGATGATTTCGACGAAGCCTGGCTCTGGATCACGACCCTGATTTTTGCATTCGATGTGGCGTCTTGGTGGCAGATTGAATGGCTTTTTCAAGATTTTCAAGCGGCCGACGTATTTTTCCCCACGTTTCGAAGATGAAGCAGAGGAGCTTCTATTTGCCGTGCACGAGGCAAGCACATCTGGGCGTGTCTTTTTTGAGTTCTTTTTGTGTTGCGTGGGGGAAAAGGGGGGGTGGAGCCGCTTTTTTCCTTTTTTCTCCCCTGCGGAAATCGAAGGGCACCGCCAATTGATGTAGAGTGGCCGAGTTCTCTCGGCTGAGGTGCTCTCGTTCAACACGGGTGTAGAGGCGACGGAGAAAGATGTGCACATGGCACCAGGCAAGTGGGAGCTTTGTTTTTTTGGACCTGGGCTCGGGGGAAAAATCGCGATCGAAGGAACAACATCTGGATCGCATACCAGAGATGGGGTTGTCTTTTTTGGTGGTACTCCCTTTTTTGGCTGTTTTACATGGAAACCAAGAGGAACACCGAAGCCATTTGCGGGGGTCTCCTCAAAAGGGACACACCCAGATAGTCACACCTCTTTGCAGTTGCAAGTTGCATTGGATGCAAACGGACAGCCAGGAACACTCATCACGCAGCGCCGAGTGATTGCCAAGAAGTGCCCCGCTCGCTGGGGTGATCCAAGCGCGGATCGGGCTCTTGCGCGCGCTTGAGCGGGGCTTTCCTTGAGCTGTCTGCGTTTTCACTGACCTTGCGCCAGCCGAAGCTGCCAAGACCAGGGTCTTCCGCACATTTCTGGGCATGAAGTCGCTGTATCACGGAGATGGAGAGCTAGGGCAAATTGGTTTGAAAGAACGTTGGTTTCCATGTAGCCGGCTGATCAAAAGGTCCTTGTGGGATGACCATTGGTTGGAAAACCGCAAAAAAGAAGATACTCCCACATACTCCCACATGGGAAAAGTTACCCCAAAGGTCATTTGGGCCAACCCCCACCTTGTGGGTCTCTTTGGGCCGCCAGATCCATATCTCTTAGTCGAGGTCAGGGCCTTTTCCGCCCGACGACCGAGGTACCTGCGCGGCTGGTTTGCCATTGACTTCGGGAGTACCGTTCCCTGGCCCCTGGGCCACACTTGGGATGTTGACTCTCAACAAGCTAGTACAGCTTAAATATGGCTTGCCTGATTTGCCGAGAATCTCTTAAAGAAGAAGAAGAAGAAGAAGAAGAAGAAGAAGAAGAAGAAGAAGAAGAAGAAAAAGCAGACAACAATCAGCGGTCATACCTAAGTTTCGCTGCTATTTACTCAAAAGCTCAAGCAACTATGGACATTCCCAAGAGTTACCAACGGAAACCAGCAAACAAAACCACATCAACGGACCATGCCACCCAGGGTCGCCCCGATCTGACGGCAGGTCGCAGATCGCTGAGCTCCTGACGGCCGGAGAGGACTCGGGTTCCACCCAGCTGACCCGCCTGACCAAAGTGGTGAAGTTCGTGCGGCTGCTGCGGCGCTTCGGCGAGCCGACGAGGGGCGGCTTGGGGGGGGGGGGGGCTGATGGCGGCGGCCGAAGGGCGTCCAAAGAATTTCCCTCTTTGTCCATGACCATTTTGCGAGTCTGGCTCATGTACATGGGGGGTGTCCTTTGCTGAGGGTACTCATTTGGAGCTTGTTTTAAAAGGGACGCCAAAAAAGTTGTTTTTTCTTTTTTTGTGAGTCCCCTTTGCTAAGACGCCCCCATTTCAGTTTGCGTGTTGCTTGCTTGCTCGCTTGCTTGCTCGCTGGCTTGCTCGCGCATGGCACGCATGGCTCGCATCCACCTGAGGCTGATGCGCATGCTGCGCTTGGCCAAGCTGGGAGCGATCTGGGAGCGCATCGAGGTCCGCATCGGCTCCATCTTTTTCGTGCAGTGCGTGGCTCTCATCCGCGCCCTGGAGAAGAGAACATGGTTGTGTCCATAGGTGTCCTTTTTGGTTGTCTTGGTAGAACATAGATGGCGATTCCTGGTTTACCTGGTGGTTTAATCATCTACCAGGGCCATCTATTTACCCTCAAAGGACACCAATGGTTGTGTTTGTTTTGTTTGTTTTTTTTTTTGGGGGGGGGATGGGATACCCTTTTTGGGCGGGTTTGAAACGGAAGTCGAAGGGCAAACCACCCGGTTCAGAGGTTCCTCTAATCTGAGACACAACAGTGCGTCGGAGGCTGAAGAGCAGTATTGAGTGTGGCAGGGAATTGATCGCCTTAAAAGGTACCATGGATTTTGAGTTTGGTTGATGTACATCAGGATGTTTTCCAGCTTTGAGAAAAGGACATGCTGCAACCGTGTTGTGCTTGGAAGTTGCCTGAGGTGTTCTTTTGGTGGTGATCGGGATTTGCCATTGGAACGCCTGCATTTTCTGGCTCATCGGCTTGCCACGGAACTTGCTGCTTGGCGCAAACCACCTGTGGCTGGCCAGTTGCTTCTTCTTGCTCGTCTTTTTGTGATGGTACCCTTTTTGGGGTGGATTTCAAGGCGAACAGGTAGCCTACTTTGAGACAAACCCATGTTGGTCAAACGAAACAGCACTCGCACGTTTCAGCTAGGTCACCACCCTCAGATCAGTCTCAGACATTTGGAGGCTGACACGAAGTGGAACTTCAATGTCTTCAGAATGTGATCTATGATCAATATTCACCTGCTACTATAGTCTAATGACCTTGGGTACACTCACCAAGTTACTCGCCAAAATCCAAGCATGCAATGTATATTCGCCATCGCTCATATTCCCGAACTGCTAATCTAGACAAATGCAGACTGTCCCACAACGAGGCTGGCCGGCCAGAAAACGCATTTTCCTGTGCGCAGCAAGAAAGTACCAGTGCAAGGCCGCCATAGGAGGACCAAGTGCTGTTTAGCTGGGGCACGCACACGTCATCTATTCTTTGTGAAGCTTATGAGCGGAGCTTGCCCAAGGCACTTCTTAGCATCCGGCATATTCCGTCCAGGTCGAGTCCAGCATTCGACATGTGCACGCCCGTAAAAAAAGCCACAAGTTCGTGTCCTCCCATGTCCTTCACCGCCTTCCACCAGGTTGTCATTGCGAGCATTCGAATTTGTGCTGATGGCGGCGGGATTTCTTTGTCATGGCGACTGGGCCCACCTTGCTGTTATTGAAAGGCCACACCATCACTGGCCTATGCAGCCGAGTCTTAATGGACTAGGTTGATAGACGGATTTGGAGGATCATGTTTAGGAGGGCGATTCGCCAAGCGAAATGTTCCGTGACAAAACTTTGTCATTTGATTTTTTTTTTTCCGGGCACCAACTTTTGGGGTTGGTTTAAAGGGGAAGCCAAAAGGATTCCCAGCTGCCTGCCCATGAGACACATATCCATTTCAGGTTCACGGAGCTGATGAGCGACAATTCGCAAGCGGAGTACTTCAACTCGCCCCACTGGACGACCGTGTGGCGCGTCACTGAGGCCCAGGATCCTCGGCCGAAGGCACAAAACGCAAGCGAACTGAGGGATGGGCTATACCGAGGCGGTTGGACATAGGTGCGCTCGGTGTTTGGACCTGGGTAGCTCGGAGCTCTTTTTTTGTTTCTTCTTTTTTTTTTGTTTTTTTTTTTTTTTTTTTTTTTTTTTCCAGGGACCCACAATGGGTGGTTCTTCTTTTGGCTCTCCCCTAAACGCCATAAAAAGGGGGGAGAACTCCAAAAAAGGACGAGCCACCAGTTGCGCTTTGCCAACAAAATCCAAAGCGAACCAAGGCAGATGCTTGGCGATGGATTGATCGCCCGATGCCCGAGAAGTATGCGGCTTGCCTCAGTTATGCCCAGCCTTCAACAGCGCGCCATTTGAGTGTGTGTGCATGTTTTTCTTGGGCCGTCTTCTCACAGCGAGAAGGACACTTGTCGCGGCGTCTCCATTTTGGGGAGTCCAGCAGTAAAAAGGATCGGCCGCTCTCCGCCGAGAGGTCTTTTGTTTCTACTGGACCCTGGGCGTGATGCGCACGATGCCCGCGGAAGTGACGCCGGTCAACTTGCCGGAGAGGCTCTTCGTCCTGATCTTCATGTTCTTCGCGCTCTCCGCTTTTGCGCCCCGGAGTGAGCTTTGATGGGGGTGCGTCGTTTTGGGAGTTGCCACCCCATGTTCCATATTTCATTTCTGTGGTGTCAAAGGAAAACCGAGCAGGAAAACCACTCCTTTTCTTCCCCGGAAGTAGTGCCCCTTTTTAGTTTTTTGCCTTTTTGGGGTTCCCTTTTGTTTTCAAATTCCAGCCAAGTTTTGGGGTGCCCCCAAAAAAGACGCACCCAGCCCATTTGTTTTGCCGCGCCGACGCTCTGTGTCCCTCCTTCACCACCAAACCACAAAAATCCAAACCACCAATCGGAGGGAAGCTGATACTATGCCCTGAGAATCAATAGAAGGAGCAATGATGTGTTTCAGGGTTGTGGGATCACTCGGGGTTTATCCCCACTTCTGTGATACGAGGGAATCCCCCCTGTATAGTGGGGGGGTTAGTCTTTGGGAAGCCCTTTTTGTTGTATCATAGAAGTGGTCATTTCCCACAGCCCTGATGTGTTTTGTATATACACGGCATTTCTCCTTTGTTGCAGCAAGAAAGCCTTCGGCTTTGACACGCATTCCGGAGGAAGACCTCCAATCCAGACCGAAGAGAGCCTCTGGCATGCTTTTTCACCTCAAGAGCATAGCCATCATTGATAGCAAGAAGCCTGAGAAATGGTCAAGTCGATGACCAAACACCCTGAGCATCACCTAACAACAAGGCTTTGCATCGGACAGCCCAAGCTGGGGATGCCGGCAAGCCAAGGCGATATGCGTGTCCCTGATCACGCAGGCGTTCTTTAAGAAGCTTGGCGAAGAGGGGGGTGGGCGGCTAGTGGCTTGCATGTGGCTGAGTGGCGAGGCTTGCATGTGACTGGTCCAAACATTTCTGCGAATACGGGGGACTGCCGAACCAGGACTCAATTGACACATGGGTATGGGACCTTTCAATCGGTGGTCTTTCCTTTTGGTTTCTATTCAACCAACCTGAAAGGTAGTTGTGCTTGAGTGAGGGCGGCTGGTTGGGCTGCATTGGCGTGAGGATTTCTGATCGGCGACGAGCGTTCAACGAGGTGCCGAGCTCATGGTCCAAATGGCTATGAGTTTTGGGTGGGAACACTCACAACTGGTGCAATCCGAATGTAGATGATCTCCAAAGGGTCTCAATTGAACGTTCATACCCAAGTTGGGCCCCAAGTTGGGACCCGCGTTTTCTCTTGCTGCCTTTGTTTGGATTGACGGGAAGGACCCGAAGGGCAATGCCCCATTTCGGTGGGCCCCAAGCTTGACAACCAACTGCTTTCGTTTTTTTTTTTGGCCTGCATTTCGCAACTTTGGGCCTTCGGCAGGAAGAGACCATGACCAGCCTTTGAAAGCCCCGGGGCGACAGTTCCATGACCAAACAGTTCGAAGAATGACTGCACAGCACCAGCTTAGTTGGGGCAGGACCGGAAACCAGGATTGGACAGCGGCCCAGAGATTGCCATTTTCCAATGTATAAATATAGATGAGTTGTACATGTAGAGGTTTATCTCCAAACGGAACCCGAAGAGAAACAACACAACGGGTGGTTTTCACTTGGTCCCCCTTGACAACACCCAAAAGCAGCTGCTCCGAGAGAGAGAAAAGACACAACCACCCACAAAGACACAGCACGGGTGGCAGGAGCTGGCAGCAGTGAGGATGCACCTGCAGAAGACATATGTGGAGGAGAATCTGGAAGCGGCCCCATGTGAACGGGTCTGTTGTGTGCTTTGTTTTCCTAGGCCCCTCCGTTTTGTTGAGTTGCAATTGGAAAGATACCAATGGGAAAACAACTCCTATTGGAACACGCCCCCATATTTGATGAATGCTCGTACACCACCTCAAAAGCACTTAATTGACTTCCACAATTGCGATTCACGCCCATTTTTTGTTTTTTTTTGCGATTTGAATCATCAGCTTTTGGAAACGCAAGAACGCAAGAGACGCACCTTTGGTGGGATATCGTGTTAGAACTGACATTGCTTCCAGCAAGCCATCATTCTTCAATCAGGGTCTTGCACATGTAGCTTCAATTCTTGTTGTTGCTGGCATTTTGCAGTCTCTCTCTCTCTCTCTCTGTCTCTCTCTCTCTCTCTCTCCTCCCTCTCTCAACTCTCTATCTTTCTCTTTCTCTCCCGATCTCTCTCTCTCCCGCTCTGTTTCTTTGTTGAACTGTGTTTCTTTCTTTCTTTCTTGCTTGCTTGCTTTCTTTCTTTCTTTGTTTCTTTCTTTCTTTCTTTCTTTCTTTCTTTCTTTCTTTCTTTCTTTCTTTTGTTGTTGTGTTCTGTGTTCTCTCCTGTTTTCCGCTCCCCCTCTCCCTCTCTCTAAGATTAGGTATGTAAGCAGTTCTGTTTTAGCGCAAGACATGCTGTTCAGTAATCATGTCTGGCAATTTCTGGTCTCGCCGCAGTTTCCCAGCAGAACTTGGCAGGAGCAGATTCAGCTCAAGGTGAAGTCGTACCTCAGGCGCGGGTGCATTGCGTGTGGCCACCCATGCGCCAAATGAGGGCGGGACCCAATGTGAGCATCTTACACATGGGTATGTTTATTCAAGGATTTACTATTGTTGTTTTACTTTTGTAAGCCACAAATTAAAGGACCGGATAACCCCACATGCTATGTTTTTGCCACGGTTTCGCACACCCCCCGCCGCGCGCGCGACAACATCCTGTCCCTCTAGACAGCTGCCGAATGCGACCCCTGCCACACAAACACACACCCAGATGCACAGAATGCTGCGCCTGCCACGACTTCGGCAACGGCATCGCCAAAGTGCTGCGCCTGCCACGATTTCGCAACGGCATCGCCAAAGTGCTGCGCCTGCCACGATTTCGCACGCCCCCCGCCGCGCGCGCGACAACATCCTGTCCCTCTAGACAGCTGCCGAATGCGACCCCTGCCACACAAACACACACCCAGATGCACAGAATGCTGCGCCTGCCACGACTTCGGCAACGGCATCGCCAAAGTGCTGCGCCTGCCACGATTTCGCAACGGCATCGCCAAAGTGCTGCGCCTGCCACGATTTCGCACACCCCCCGCCGCGCGCGCGACAACATCCTGTCCCTCTAGACAGCTGCCGAATGCGACCCCTGCCACACAAACACACACCCAGATGCACAGAATGCTGCGCCTGCCACGACTTCGGCAACGGCATCGCCAAAGTGCTGCGCCTGCCACGATTTCGCAACGGCATCGCCAAAGTGCTGCGCCTGCCACGATTTCGCACGCCCCCCGCCGCGCGCGCGACAACATCCTGTCCCTCTAGACAGCTGCCGAATGCGACCCCTGCCACACAAACACACACCCAGATGCACAGAATGCTGCGCCTGCCACGACTTCGGCAACGGCATCGCCAAAGTGCTGCGCCTGCCACGATTTCGCAACGGCATCGCCAAAGTGCTGCGCCTGCCACGATTTCGCACGCCCCCCGCCGCGCGCGCGACAACATCCTGTCCCTCTAGACAGCTGCCGAATGCGACCCCTGCCACACAAACACACACCCAGATGCACAGAATGCTGCGCCTGCCACGACTTCGGCAACGGCATCGCCAAAGTGCTGCGCCTGCCACGATTTCGCAACGGCATCGCCAAAGTGCTGCGCCTGCCACGATTTCGCACGCCCCCCGCCGCGCGCGCGACAACATCCTGTCCCTCTAGACAGCTGCCGAATGCGACCCCTGCCACACAAACACACACCCAGATGCACAGAATGCTGCGCCTGCCACGACTTCGGCAACGGCATCGCCAAAGTGCTGCGCCTGCCACGATTTCGCAACGGCATCGCCAAAGTGCTGCGCCTGCCACGATTTCGCACACCCCCCGCCGCGCGCGCGACAACATCCTGTCCCTCTAGACAGCTGCCGAATGCGACCCCTGCCACACAAACACACACCCAGATGCACAGAATGCTGCGCCTGCCACGACTTCGGCAACGGCATCGCCAAAGTGCTGCGCCTGCCACGATTTCGCAACGGCATCGCCAAAGTGCTGCGCCTGCCACGATTTCGCACGCCCCCCGCCGCGCGCGCGACAACATCCTGTCCCTCTAGACAGCTGCCGAATGCGACCCCTGCCACACAAACACACACCCAGATGCACAGAATGCTGCGCCTGCCACGACTTCGGCAACGGCATCGCCAAAGTGCTGCGCCTGCCACGATTTCGCAACGGCATCGCCAAAGTGCTGCGCCTGCCACGATTTCGCACGCCCCCCGCCGCGCGCGCGACAACATCCTGTCCCTCTAGACAGCTGCCGAATGCGACCCCTGCCACACAAACACACACCCAGATGCACAGAATGCTGCGCCTGCCACGACTTCGGCAACGGCATCGCCAAAGTGCTGCGCCTGCCACGATTTCGCAACGGCATCGCCAAAGTGCTGCGCCTGCCACGATTTCGCACACCCCCCGCCGCGCGCGCGACAACATCCTGTCCCTCTAGACAGCTGCCGAATGCGACCCCTGCCACACAAACACACACCCAGATGCACAGAATGCTGCGCCTGCCACGACTTCGGCAACGGCATCGCCAAAGTGCTGCGCCTGCCACGATTTCGCAACGGCATCGCCAAAGTGCTGCGCCTGCCACGATTTCGCACGCCCCCCGCCGCGCGCGCGACAACATCCTGTCCCTCTAGACAGCTGCCGTGAGTCAGCGAGTGTGAGTGAGTGAGTGAGCGAGTGAGTGAGTGAGTGAGTGAGTGAGTGAATGAGAGTGAGTGAATGAGAGTGAGTGTGAGTGAGTGAGTGTGAGTGAGCGTGAGTGAGTGAGTGAGTGAGTTTGAGTGAGTGTGAGTGAGTGAGTGTGAGTGAGTGTGAGTGACTGAGTGTGAGTGAGTGAGTGTGAGTGAGTGAGTGTGAGTGACTGAGTGTGAGTGAGTGAGTGTGAGTGAGTGAGTGTGAGTTGAGTGAGTGTAAGTGAGTGAGTGAGAGTGAGTGAGTGAGTGAGTGAGTGAGTGAGTGAGTGAGTGAGTGAGTGAGTGAGTGAGACGGAGACGAGCGGGAGGAGGAGGAGGAGGAGACGCGGCGCGCGGACGACGAGCGGAAAAAGTAAGAACCCCACACAAAGATGTGGGGAACAAAAGGTTACCCTCAAAAGAGACCCACATAGAATGAGAGCTTCAACGCTGTCACTGGCCGTGCTGCCACATGCTTGTCAGGTACATTTTCGACCGTCGCCGAATTCAAGCAAAGGCCGGGTGGGTTTCTGCCGGTCAAACAAGGGACTCGGTTAATGCAAAGGAAACCGACATACACTTTGGTGCATTTTGCTTGGATGTTAGGACTTTAACTTTTTGCCAACTAATGGGTTTGCCATTAAACCACTAAAGGTTAAACTTTTAGCAGTGGAGCAGAAAGCAACCGAGTACAGTCCATTTGAAGTACCGGTCAAGTGCCACATTTCTGTGGAAGGTTTTCTGTTTCGTCAGCAGTTCCTGGTGGGACTGGGGAGGATTGGCCGGAGAGGAAGCGTCGCTGGCTGAGCCTTGACAGGAAGCGTCACTGATGAACATCCTGCCGGAACAGCTGAAGTTGGCCATTCGCAGATCTCAGGCGCGGATCCATTGACATGCGGAGAGATCGATCGATCGACGGGGAAACCCTGGGGCGGGTCCCGGGCGCCCGCTGAGATGAGGAGGTTTTTGGGGGGATTTCGTGGGGGTTTTTCATGGGGATCTGAGCACAGTAAAGTTAAACACTTTTTCCAGGGGATCTGAGCACAGCCCAGTTTCAGTTTCAGCGGTTGGTGTGAGATTGCTGCCAGATCCGCACCCATTTGGACAAGATCCCATTGATGCGTGAACTGGAGCGTGACAGCCTCTCGACAGCATTATGGGATGGGTGGGTCTTCAGCCTTGCCTTTCGCGGTGGAGCCTTGCCTTTTTGTTTGCCTGCTAGTTCCAAGATGGGATGCATTTTTGGTTAGCACCTCAAGAAGGACATGTCTAGATCGGCATTTGGCATCATGAAGATGGCCTCATGTCTCAACGATGCGAAGGAAGGGCGGACATGTCTTGCAGGTCTTGAAAAGGTCATCGACTCTATCGAGACCTTCGACCTCATGCAGGGAGATGAAGTGAACTGTGCAGGCCAGGGGCTTTCACCAACTTTTGATCGCAGAGATCTGTGGGCAGTGCATTGGGCACTTGTGCCCATCGGATGGGTATGGGTCAAAATATCAATCCACCCGGAATCGGGAATTGGGGACCGCAGGTTTTAGCCCCTGGTTCCATTTACCAGGGTTCCATTCACCCCGTTTTGGGGTGTAACCCCGATTTTTGACCACAGCCAGATGTTGCAGCCTCCCATCTCTCCTCTCCTCCTCTCTCTCTCTCTCGCTGCCAGGCTCCGTGGCCGAAGCCGCTTGGGTGCTGGTCTCTGGGCGGCTTCGGGTCACCAAGCGCATCGTGGCACCGACGCTGTGACCAAGAGGTGGTGGCCGCGGGGGGGACGGCGGGGGGGAGACGTGGCGGGGGCGGCCGTGTTTCGGCTGGGTGGCGAGTAGCCAGGCAGGAACCTGAGGATTGACCCCTCCAAAAAAGCAATTTGTCCAAATAATCGAACATTCTCAAAGAACACCTGGGTAAAAGGGTGTATCCTCAGGGTGGCTTTCAAAAAGCCTCTGATTCGTTGTGCGTGGTGGGTAGACATATTGATGTCTTGCAGTGATGTTTCATTGGCAACAAAACGCCGTCAATGCGCTGCTAACTTTGTCTTTCTAAGTTTGTTTTCCCGGCGCGTCCCCTGATTGGTTGGCGACAAACGGCATGGATCTTTGGGAAGCGCCTGGAGAGAAGCCTTCGAACTAGGCAGCGCTCGCTTTCGAGCTGGCGACATGTGCCCGACATGTGCCCGACAAAGCCCCAAGCAATCCAGCCCTTGCAGCTGATAAGCTGACGCAATGTGGACTTTCTGGAATCACTGCCTTCGGGTTCGCATCTGCAAGTCATCATGAAAGCAAGACCAGCGCGCCAACAGACAAGACGTGCTTCCGTGTCTAAGGCTTGTGGATGACAGTGACCTCGACGTTGCGCCCTTGACTGTGGATGAGCATTGCTTGGAGGAGGAAGGCCCAGTGCTGTCCAGGCCTGGCGGGGAGAGAACTCATTCCACTGACTTGCCGTCAGAAAGAGGCCCTTTGGACAGGTCCGCCCCCAATTTTGACCACCCCTCCCTGTAGCTTTAACCCCCCCTTCCCCCTTCCCACTTCCCCCTTCCCTACACCCTCCCCCCCTCCCCCCACCCCCAATTTTGATTGGTTCCATGGCGAGTCTGGCCCTTCGAAGGTACACGGCCATCGCGGCCGAGAGTTCAGAGCTGCTTAAAATCACAAAGGCGGGGAAAAGTCACGAAGCAGAGGCGCTCTTGAAACTCGGGCGCTTGGTGATACGGGTGTTTCTTTCTAAGAGGGTTGCCAAGGTTTACAGGACACCACTGCGCTGTAAGGCTCATGAGCTTGTCAAACCCCGTGCACTCGCAACATCTTGCGGTTCACTGGTCAGCTAAATGATCAATCGCATGCACACGGTGCTCACCCATGGAACATGGATTGCTCCAACTTGAGCCACAATCGAAACCCGGGTAGATGAAGGTTAGTAGGGGACAATGCCAACCATAAATAGTTGCGGCCGCCTTCTTAATTCTTTACGTGGTTCTGGGATTACGACTATGTTGATACCGAGTTTTGAGTATGACTCACTTGGACCCATTGCTCTGGCCCTTTGCCAGGATACCTTCTTCCAGTCCATCTCGGTGTCCCGAAGGCCTGAACGCATGGCAGCGGCTCGAGAAAGCTTCCAGCGATATATCGTGCGCATGTGGGGCTGCAAAGGGCGTATTTGGGTATAGCTCAGAATGAAACAGCTGGGGTTACGCAGGTTTTGCTCTTTGCTTCCATTTGCCAAGGCGGCATTTGGGGCACCATGTTTGAAGCCATAGCCATTTGGACAACCGCTTTTTTAGGAGGACAACCATGGGCCACTTAAGGCTAGGAGGCTGCAAGGCTTTTTCCCGTGGATCCCGTCACGGCGTAAATCGAGCTCTGCTCCAGGAAGAGCATCACTTTGCGGGGCACGGCCTTGTACTACGTGAAGAAGTCGACCTCCCAAACTTCCGTGCCTGACAGCATCGGCCGACGAAGGCGGGGCTCCCTGACGCCTTCAGGGCATGAGAGTGGTGTGCTGGAAGGCGAGCAGTCATAATTTTTACACCGAAACAGTGGGTGGGTGTGTGTGTGTGTGTGTGTCGCGTTGAAGCCAAGGAAACTTGACATAATGAAGGATGAAGGATACCAGTACCAAACCAGGTGCGAGTAGTTGACAGCCTGTTCTGATTTCAGTCGCGGGATATGCATACAGTGCTTGCTAGCAGAACAGATCTTGCAAACAGGCCAGACACTGGACGTCAAGTCAACAGGGTCGGGGCGCATGTCGTGAGTGATGCATCATCTCCCGGGAGCGGCATTCCACTGGTGACAAGGCTGTGGGTCGAAACCAATGGGATCCCATTTTGGGGTAGGTATGGTAGTGAATAACCTATTTTAGTGGTGATTGGGATGTTCACTGGGGTAACCGGGATTTTGACCCATGGCCCAAAAAAGTCGGGTGTCACGCTCATGGCACGAGCTCATTCCACGGTGCAGGTCTGTTACCGGCGTCACCGCGGCGGTGCAAGCCGCCGCTGTGATTTCTTCGTCTTAGCGTCGACCTGCATGCTTGGTCAGTTGATGTGTGTATATTTCCCGCACATGTCACTGGCCTCGGATTGCCCGTGGGAAAGTGGAACTTCACTGCTAAAATGTCCGTTTTGCTGGTGAAGGGTCATATGGGCCACGCATTCAACATGGACTCCTCCCTTCCAAACCTGTTTGAGAGGGTGGGTGCATCGTTTTCGGGAGACTTGGGTTTGTCGCTCCCTTGGTCTCCTTATGGTTCCCTGGAAGAAACAACCCAAAAGTTGGGCAATGGCCAGTGCAGAGGGTGACGATCCGGCGGGCCGATCAGTCGGATTTTCTTGACCGCGGCTCAAGACATGCTCCCATTTTAAGCTCGGCCCTGTCCCAAGAGCTTCATGTAACGTGGAATTGCTCGCGCTGCCAAAGGCAGAATGTGCGAGCATGGTGAAACCCAAACCGCAGGCATGCCTGCCGGTGGTGCTCTCCCATATAAAGGCGGAGCTTTGCTGCTGGGTCCCACAGGTCCTGAGTTGCCTCACGCCTTTTCAACTCTGCGGTGGAAGCCAACTGAAGATATGCAGCAGGCAGATTCCCGTTCCCGCACATTGGCTTGCATACCGACGGCGATTCTGGCATGCCGTACTCTTGCCAAGTAATGTAGACCCATGCAGGTGCGTATTGTGTTGCATTCGCATGACCGTATTGCATGGTCGAACCCCCTCACTTTCAAGCCTCGTACATTTTGAGGGGAGCAAGATGGCTACTGCGGGAGTGACCGCTGAGGCCCCTCTTCAAGCGCAAAAAAGGCAGCATAACTACTATCTTCAGATGCACCACATCCGGCACTCTTCACCATTAGCATCCAATTGCAAATGGCAGCTGATGATCAATTCCAACTTCTCAGTCCTCGGGAATTGCTGCACCCTATATATTCAGTGCATGGAGGATGATAATGATTGCAAGGATTGACGTCGATGCCACCATGCAATTTGAGTTCGACGCCAAACAAAGACGGCATAGGGCCAGCCATCACACAAGAGGGACTTAGCTATATTGTTGCCCTGTGTGACTCTGGCTGAATCTCTCTGTTTGTGCAGTGCATAGACATAGACTGGTCTCAAGATTCTAAGGAAGGCTGGGATTGTTTGTGGTGAGTACCATCTTTGCGTTTTGCGAGCGTTTCCATGGGCTTCCACCGAAGCAACGCAAGCTGGTTTCAACGCATCCATGCAAAACAGCTCAGGTGCTGGCCGCGATTCCATTCGAAGCCTTGATTGGTTAGCGAGATGGGTGCCATCTTGCTTCCATGAAAGAACCGGTATTTGGGTATGGGTCAAAGTCAGACCAGGGACCCGCAGGTTTTAGTTTCTAGTTCCATTTACGAGGGTTCCATTTTGGACTATCACTTGGACCCGGTTTTGGGTACCTTTTTTGAGTGCCTAACTTGGTAAATTTTGGACTCCCTGGTTTTTTGGAGACCTATTTTTGACCCGCCATTCGGACCATCTTCACTTTTGCTTGGCCCAGCCTCGCTTGAGCGGTTTTTTCGTCCGTCCGTCGTCTGGTGGAGCTTGGCGACCGCGTAGAAAGGTCATGCTTCGAGTCGAAAGGCTGAAGGCTGAACGGAGACTCCACGCCGAAAAGCATCTGCCCAGTTTATGTTGCCAGCTCGCATTGATATAAAGATCCTTTGCTTGGAGATCCCTTACTTCAGTTGTTGGACATGCTAAAAACATCAGCAGATACATGTTTGCCATCAGCCCCAAGGCCGGAGCGTTTCCGTTGGAAGGCTTTCCATCGTTAGCGAGGAGGCCTGGCATCTCACACCCTGAGAGTCGTTGACCAAAGAGCGTCAGAATCGGGCTTGTAAGAGAAAAGGTGCAGCTCCGTGATCGAGTCCATGCTTTCCTCCTCTTCCACCATGGTGGTACCCCCCAATTGGGCCATAGGAGAGTCCCAACCAGAGTTAGGTGCGGCTGCCTTTGTAGTTCTTTACATTGGTTTGGGGTAGGCCATTTAAGCACCATGCTTTGATTGTGGCGCGATAGCTGCTGCTTCATGCAGATGACATTATGTTGATGAGACTACACCCAGTTCTTGTTGGGTGCAGTGACACGTGCAGGTTGTGTCGCCGCTTCACATGCTGAGTCGCATTTGCGCTTGTGCAGCAGGCCACACGACCATCTGGCCTCACGAGATGTGCATTGTATTCACCAGTGTCCCCTTTTTCGGTTAGCTGCTGTGGATTGATGTTATCATGATTTGCGAATCAAGTTGTCACATCCCAGCAATGGCTAGTCTTGCCTAGCCTCAAGCCTCCTTTTGAGTTGTAGCGGAAGGCTGTGTTCCTTCTGCTGTGGGTCTGATTTGTTAGTTGGCCTTTTTCGTTCGTATCAAGGGCCTTTTAGCAGTCATAGAGGTTCGCACAGCCTTGAAGCTTAGAGCCACCTGGGCCAACCGTTTCTGCTCATGTGGGGGTTGATCAACAGCTCCGTACATGGGATGACCATGGTTGGACCACCACTAAAATGATTTGATCATTCGACCACATGGCTAGTTGTCAAAATGTTGCGTAAATCGCCATTCCATGAGGGGGCCAATCCGTGGGAAAAGTTAGCCGTGGTCATGTGGGCAGGAATACTGTGGGCGAAATCCTGCACCACTTGAAACCATGGGAAACTATTGTTGGTTGGTACAGGGGAATCGAATCATTCTAGGGTTCCTTAGGCGGTGCGAAATGGATTTCCATCCACATTGATCGGCCCCCATGAGGTGTGATTCACGTGCCTTCAGAGGCTCGGACTGGCCCTTTGGCCCCCTTACGCTCGGAGGGGTGAGCACCTGTGCCGAAAAACTGCGCACCCGCAGCCGTAGGACGTTTGGAACCAGCTGCACGCCGCCATTTGATGGAACCAGCCAAGACATTGACGCGCTGTACTTTTGTGATGTCAAACCTGAGGGCTTGGCTTCCGCAGGCAAGGAGTAGGACTTGCTTCAGGACTAGGTATTTGAGAGTGGTAAGAGCGACGATAGCAGCTCGGCTTTTGACTAAGGTTTTTGATTGGCCGACACTTCACGTCCCAAGTCACAGCCTTTTGCCTGTGACACAAACAAGTCCTGCATTGGGCTTCTTCTTCGGCGGCGTCGCGCTTGGGCTAGACGCGCCATGGCGGGGTGAAAAGCTATGCGCTGGAGCCAGCCGGGCTGCCTGAGTCAAGACCCGCGGCTTGGGACGTTGCTCAAGATGGGCGCTCAAATTTATTGTGCGAGAGGCAAGGAAGGAGAAACGGAATGACCTAGATTTAAGCCATCCAACTGGTTGTTTTCCTTTAAGGGGACCAAAGCCTGAGTTCATTCCCTCATTCCCTAGTCTTTGGTTTCCTTTGCCCCTTGCTCCCATAGTGCCTTCCTTTTCTTGAGCCACACCATTAAATGGAAGCAACCCTTTTGGTGAAACGAGAAGGACGCCTGAGCCATTGGGGTTCTTGAGGAACATGTGCCTTGAGGCTGGTAGATGGCTACTGGACCATCGGAGGCTTGGCGTGGAAGGGTTCGCTCGTTTCTCATGGACCCGTTTGCTTGGTTCGAGAAGCAGGGGACCCTAAAGCAAACCTAAACCAGACCCTAGACCAAACCTTAAATCAAACCTAAACCAAACCCTAAACCTAACCCTAGACCGAGACATGGAATGAAGGACTCTCAAAGAACCCATCCATTTCCGATTTGGCTTCCTGTATGTGTTCAGGAATTCCCAAACCGGTTCATTCCCAACACCCGGACCCGGTCATTCCCTGTCGCACCAGCAAGTTTTGCTTGGCGAGGCACGGCGCCGCGAGCCCAAACTGCTGCGGCCTTCCTGGAAGGCTGGGAATCGCCAAGGCCACTTGCTGTCGCCGGGGTGTAGAGGGGGTCGCAACAAAGGGGGAACCCCCCGAAAATGGCGGCTGTCTTTTTGGCGGCCTTTTTTGGTTTCTCTTTTTGCCCTGCGAGAAAAAGAAAGGGGGGGTACCCCGAAGAAAGATGGGCACCAATGCGGATTGGACTGGACCTCCCTTTTGAATACTTGCGCATGGTCAACTTGGGGGATCTTGGGCTCACCTTGTTTAGGGTTTTCCTTGTTTCCCTTCAACACCGAGCAAATATCGGGGGTACCCGCAAAAGACACCAGCACGATCCCATGCCCAGCAGCTTTTTTTTTTGTCGCACAACAACGAGCGCGCTTTAGATGCATCTGGGACATCATCTTCCACTTGAGCGAAGGCCGCCCTTTTTCTAGGGGCTGATTCCCATTCTTTTCAACCATCGTTCTTTTCAAAAACCATCCATTTCCCCTGGGTTTCCGGAGGTTTTCTAGAAAGAAGGATCCCTGCAAATAATGAGGAAGGTAACCATAGAATTTTCTGCAAGAGAAGAGTTCTTGAATCCCTTTTCTTTCACCTTGGTCGATGCCATAATTTCATGTCGAAACAGGGTGATTTCGATCTTGCGTGGCTGGATGTGTGGATTTCGCTAGCGGAGGACCTTCCGGAAAGTTGCGGAGTTCCTTCCAAGGCCAGTCGGGTGAGATGGCCCGCTTTGGTTTGATATTAGGAGCGGAGTTGAGAAGTTAGGGAGCGGCGGTTGAGTCTCAACTCGGCCGAATCTTGATTGGTTTGGAAGTTTGACCTGACATTCCAGCTTTGCTGTCACTTGCTAGAATGGGTGTCCTGTAGAAATGGCGAGCCAAACTGGCTTCAGCTTTCGATTGTCCAGTGGAATTCGACATCTCCAGGACACTCAGACCTCCCTGAGCCCTTTGTTTCAGGCTACGGACACCCCGGCTTTGGCCATGGCCAGGCAGTCCGCGCTTGTGGGTCTTGTGCATGACTGATGGCCCGCATTGTGGTGGCTTGGAGTTGTGTTTGTGCGCTTGTTTGCTTTGCTTGTTTGCTTGCGCGCTTTGCATTCTTGCTTGCTTGCTTGCTTGCGCGCTTTGCATTCTTGCTTGCTTGCTTGCGTGCTTGCTTGCGTGCTTTGCTTGCGTGCGTGCTTTGCTTATTTGCTTGCTTGCTTGCTTGCTTGCTTGCTTGCTTGCTGGCTCGCTCGCTCGCTCGCTCGCTCGCTCGCTCGCTCGCTTGCTTTGTTTGCTTGCTTTGTTTGCTTGCTTGCTTGCTTGCTTGCTTGCTTGTCGGTTGGTTGGCTTGCTTGCTTTGTTTGCTTGCTTGCTTGCTTGCTTGCTTGTCGGTTGGTTGGCTTGCTTGCTTGCTTGCTTGCTTGCTTGCTTGCTTGCTTGCTTGCTTGCTTGCTTGCTTGCTTGCTTGCTTGCTTGCTTGCTTGCTTGCTTGCTTGCTTGCTTGCTTGGTTGGTTGGTTGGTTGGTTGGTTGGTTGGTTGGTTGGTTTGTTGGTTTGTTGGTTGGTTTGTTGGTTTGTTGGTTTGTTGGTTTGTTGGTTTGTTGGTTTGTTGGTTTGTTGGTTGGTTGGTTGGTTGGTTTGTTGGTTTGTTGGTTTGTTGGTTGGTTGGTTGGTTTGTTGGTTTGTTGGTTTGTTGGTTTGTTGGTTTGTTGGTTTGTTGGTTGGTTGGTTGGTTGGTTGGTTGGTTGGTTGGTTGGTTGGTTGGTTGGTTGGTTGGTTGGTTGGTTGGTTCTTGTTTGTTTGTTTGTTTGTTTGTTTGTTTGTTTGTTTGTTTGTTATTGTTCTCTTGGTCTTCTCGCATTTCCCTTGAGATGACTAGTGGAGCTGGGCAGTTTTAGGGGTGACACATGCTTTACACTGTCGCAGGGCATGCCAGACTACATGCAGCAGAACTACCAGGCCTTGGCAATCTATTTGGCTCCAAGTCCCTTTTTGGAGCCCCAAAAAAAGGCAGTTTCAATGAACACCGCCAGTCAGTTGCAACTTTTGGAGGGAAATCCGGTGACCCCCTGTCCTTGTTTTCGCCAAGCTGATTTCTTTTCCAAAAGAACTGGCTATCTATTTGGCCAAGTGGATTCCGATTTGTTGCGAGACTCTTTTCCAGTGAGCCAAAGTGGCGCAGGCAGACGATTTGCCATGGCCGGCTGCTGTTTTTTTGGTGGCGCAGTCTTAGAGCCAGGATGTGGACATGAAGGAAGAGGAGGCCGCAGAAGATGAAATGGAAGAGAAGTCAGAGCATCTCTCGTCCGGGGCCTAAAGGTGCCAAGCCTTACTGCCGTGTTCTGCGCCAATGGGAGGGCAACTTGCGGTAGGTTTCACCAATTCGCCTCTCTCAAGACATGGAAGCTCTCAGAAGGCCACTGCGGAAGCAATTGGGAGTGGACAAAGAGGTCCTTTACATAGGATGACCCTTGCGGGGCACCGCTACAAACAGTAGATTTCCAGCAAATGGGCAAAGTCACCCCATGGCCATTTGGGGGCCAGGATTTTTTAATCCACCCCCAAGTCCAATCCAAGGGGCGTCACAATGTTCGTTAGGCACATGGTCTGCGGCATCTCTTCTGGCGCGGAGGGTGGCAGTCAAGTCACCTGCGGCGTGCCCATGTGCGCCTTGCGAGTCGAGTCGAGTGGGGGAGCCCGGAAAGAAAACGTGCGCAAAGGTATGGCGCAGCGGTTTTCCTGAAAGTTTCCCCTTGAAACCCCAAGAAACAACAAAGGGCACTGCGCCTTTCACAGGAGTCGCACCCAAATCGCTGGATTCACCGCAGTTCCCCCCCCCGTTGTCCAATTTCGCCGCGCCCGTTTTCCGCTTCGGCGGCTCGCTCGGCGCTGAGCACAGGTACCGGGACAAGGCGACGGGCGCGCCTTACATCATGCCTGGAATTCCCAGGGCCATGAAGCCAAATCGGTTAGCCCCCATCAACCAATCCAAAATCGGAAGCCTCAAATGGGCGGTGACTTCACCCAATTGGGATCAACCAAAACGGTTTTGACCACAGCCACCTGGCGGCGGTGGCCTGGCGGTGCCTAGGGGATGCTCCGAGGCCGCTCTACACCGAGCCCATGGGCCCCAAAGGCCTGGCGCTCTCAGAGTGAGATGAATCCGCATCTGGGGGAAACCGACCGGAGGGCCGCCTTTGAAGCTGTTGCAAGGGTTACCTCACTGACGTGAGGTACCGCAGCAGAGAGGGCTGGGGCAGCTGGAGGCGCGCTGGATGCAAGGTTGACAACCTTTTCTCCGGATTGCACAACCCGGCAGATTTGGTGGTCCCCTTGTGGTTGGGCTTCCATTTAATCCACTAAAAGTTCAAGTTTTCGCGGGGAATCTGAGGACGGCCCAGAATAGATACCATGCCTTGCCATCCCGGACAGGTGTTGGCAGCACGGTGGTCTTCAACAGTCCTCAGGCTGAGGCAGAGGCAGCGCGGGCGCAGATGATGGAGGCGAGTCACCTGCGTTCTTTTTCTTCTCCATTTGTTTTCATCCTTTTTTCTCGTTTGGGGCCATGGGTAACACAGAGCTTTGGGAAAAATCACTTGGAAGTCTATGGTTTTGGTTTTGGGGCCATGGGTCCTAACCCCTTTTTTTTCTCCCGAAGAAAGGGTCAGGGAATTTTCCCCACGTGGCTCCATGGGCTTGGTCACTGGTCCCAGGCGCACTTGCCCCCGCTAGGCTGCTGCATCCACGCGGATCCGGGGAGAAGCCTTGAACCTGCTGAGGCGGGCGGTTCCTCGTGGCCAATGAATCCGACCGCTGTTTGGTGCGAGAGCAGCGCAGTGACAGGCTAGGAGTGCTTGGTGGATGTTGGGTTTCCGATTTCGAAGGGAGCCACGGAGCCAGGGGCTTCCTGGACAATGCGCCGCCACCAACTCCGCCGACGCCGCCCTCCGGCTTCCTCTTCAAGGGCCCAGGACTCTGTTACGGGAGGTTTCCGGAGATTCGCTTGTTATTTTGAGGGTGCCCTGTTTTCAGGTGGTTCCAACGAAAAGAGTCGCATCTTCCTGAAGCCCCACTTTTCTGGGGCCCCAGAACCCCCCAGAACTTCCCCCCATTTCGATACCCACCCACCCTCCCTCCCCTCCCACGCCTTTCTACCACCTGAGTGGGGTCCTCGGCCAGGAGCTCCCTCCAAGGTCTTTTATCCCATCCCAAGCAAGGTGTCGCCTACTGGCATTGAGGCGCGTGAGGGAGTGAGAGAGAGAATCGGGTGGTACGGACTGGGGGGACTGGGGGACTTCCCAGGTTGCATTTGGGATGAGCAGAGTTGCAGATTTGCATAGTTGGAAGCCCATGTAGCAAGCACCCCTTCATGTCTTTCTGACTTCTTCCAACTCTCAGTGCACAATGATGTGTCCTGCGACTGTTGTCTCATGCATTCATGCATGTACACTCTTTCAGAACATGCGACAGCAGCTTTATACAGGCCTTCTGAGCTTTGCTGCAAGCTTCGATACTTTCCAGGTGGTGCCAGATATCGGACCGCTGGGCGAACCCACTCCAGATGTGCCGTCGATGGGGCTGGGTGGCATGAACATGCGTGGCGCGTCTTGGCTACAGAAGTTGCGTTGCAGATGAGTCAAGGAGTGCGCAGCGCCCAGACTTTGCTCGCCCACCAAGGTTGCGAGCAATGTCTAGGTGCCAGGCGGGTAGCCGCGATTTGGCCAAGCTTGGCAAAGGAGTAGTGATATAGTTTGCCCGGGACATGAATGCAACTTCCCCCACAGATTCCGCCACCGCCAGGTGCGAAAGTGACCATGGCTCTGGCGCAACCCAAAATGCCGTTGCTTACTGTCGTGCATGTGCCAAACCTTGTGGGGTCGTTCTTTCTTTCTTTTGCAGGTGCAGACCTTTGCGATGGGCTTTGTGGGCATTTGGACGCAGATATTGCAGCAAGCAACGCAAGATCAGACCTGTCACTCATGGCGTTGCGTCGCCCTGCGCAGAACGGCTCGATAGTTAGCTTGGGATCAGATGCTTGGATAGCCTTCCTTGGATTGCAGTGGCCCTGGCTCGAAAGCGCTCGAGTTTCCCAGGCTGTGACAAAGTCTGTAAGCGCGGAAAGAAACAAAACGATGCTGATGTTCAGACTGGGGCCCCAAGGCTTTGGTCTCCGAACTCAAAACCCAGTCCTGTAACGCAAGGCTTGTGGCCAGCGGCTTGCCACTCCGATTCCCCCCCCCCCCCCCGCCAGCCCGCCAGCCCGCCAGCCCGCCAGCCCGCTTGAGTCGTTGAGGCCAGGGCCAAGGGCCATCGCGATGCAGGGCCCCGAGGTCGGAAGAGGTCCAGCGGGTTGCGGGTGGCTCATCAGCTCAAAAAATCAGCCGAGATAAGACCGATGTCTCTTGGTGACCTTTTCGGAGTCCAAACAGGCCCAGCATTTGGTGAACTCCCCCAAGGGTTAGGGAAGAAGCCAGCCTCTGGAAGAGGTCGTGTATGCTTTCATTGAGGTGTTGGAGCCAAACTTCAGGCAAGGCAGCAACTCATGTGACGGGGTTTTATAGACAGAGTGCAACATGTTGGATTTTGTGAACCCCTTCTTGGGCCTGGCACCTTTTGGATACCTGTCTCCATAGCCGCTTGCACGCAGGACCGAGCTGTCAGTTGATGCATTCAAGGAACAGCGTGTTTGGGACTCTGCTTGTTCCTGGTTGATGTTTGGAGGTGCTAGTTGGCTGTGGGTCAAAACCAATGGTACCATGTTGGGGTAGGTGCACCACGGGGGTACGGGCTTTTGACCCATGGCCACATGGTGAAGCTCTGAAGCTGCCCATACCTCGCATGGATCGGTCTATGGTACCTGGATTGACATCGCGCATGGTGTTGCCGAGGTGGGGTGCGCAGCAGATGCCCCGGCACAAACTGCTTCCAGAGATGGGGTGTGTCGGTGTAGTGATTCTGGATGACTGATGCATACTGTCCTTGAACGAAGAATGTCGGTCACCACTGGACCGCGGACACCTAGGATATTTCTAGGGCTGTAGTCATTAAGACCGTCTGTAGGACTGTTGGCCGCTTGACTTGCAGCACATGGATTGAAGGCCACAGTACGGCGCCTGGCCGCTGCGGGCTCAGTCGCCTTGCCCTGTCAGATGGGGGCGCTTGACGTACCCTCTTTTCACCGGACCGCCCCCCCCCCAATGACAAAGGCCTGCAAGGCTCAGGTTGAGCTCTGATCTCCGATCGGCACAGCTGAGGCAGCAATGGCAGCAAGCGGCGCCCCCGCCCCCTCCGGTGCGCAATTCGTCGGAGTCGATGGGCTGTTGGCCCTATGTCTACCATTCATTTCTGGGTTTGAAAGATCACACATGTTTGGCTCATTGAAGGGGAGTTCTGCTTGGTAGAGGTGATGATTGCAAGAAAAAAGACGTCGTGTGTCAAATTTTGAGGGTCCTCCTTTGGTTTTAGTGGAACATCGCCAGGAACTGAACACGGTTGCCATCTTTTTGTTGGGCGGGTCGCCTGAAAAAAGAATTCGGCCGGACGGCCCAGCTCGACTTCGGACGCGCGTCAGGGCGGCAGGCCGCCTGCGCCTGGCCGGGGGATCCTGGAGGGTCGGTGGACATAAAATCACCACCCAAGGGAGGTCCACCAAAAGGGTTCCTCATGAAACTTCCTATCCAAAAGGTGCTCCAGGTTCATTTGGCCATGTGTTTTCTAACTAGTTTTTGTGGCTTTTGAAGGTAAACCAACAAGCAAACCACCATTTTGTCGTTTTTTGGTGTTGGTCCTTTTTCTTTTCCTTGTTTTTTCAAAGAGAACCAAAAGGAAAGCCGTTGCGCCAACCTTAAATGTGCAGTGGAAGCACAGGGGGTTGGGCCAGTTTGAGAGGCGGCTGCTTTCTGAGGCGGGAACGTGCCTGTGGCAGGGGTCAGCAAGGCGAGCGGAGGCGTCAGCGCTCAAAGTGGGGGCCCAGGAGCACTGGCCGAACCTTCCCGACAAAAAGGCATGCCCTCTGGTGCATACAAAATCCGCGGGGCGGGGGGGCGGGGGGGGGGGGGGGTTGACTTTTCTACTGGAATTTCACATTTTGCAAGCTTGCTTTTGCCACCTTTTCGCAGAAAAACTGCCTGGCACGCCGGACGTGTCTCTCAACCAAGGCAAATCAGCCGGGCCCCCACCTGCTGCGCCTGCGCCAAGTAAGGCAGGGGGTGGGAAGGATCTTTGGATCACTCTCGTTTCGCTGATTTCCGGGTCCATCAACGAATATTGGAGGAGGAATCGGCAAAGCACCCGATTTCCTCTCTTTTCCTAGTACAATGTTTGTGCCCCAAACATGCGAATGGGTCGAAGCACAGAGCACATCCTAAGATACAAAACTGCATTTACACGCAAAGGCTTGGGCGGGACGCCTCAAGCTTTCTCTCGGATGCAAGAAGTGCAGCTCATTTTTCCCTGTTCCAATGGTGCCCGGATTTTTCCACAAGATCTTTCTTGGCTCCTAGATGAGCTGGTACCGTGACGCGACATGAAGCACTTGTAACTCGCACGGTCCGTTGCTCACTGCGGTGCTTGACACCAACCAACTATAGCTGCTTCTCAGGCGGGCGCGGTGCCGCCGCCTCCACAGCAGGCTGGGTCTAAGGGTAGGCTTTAGCGGGCAACTTGTGTTAAAAGAACTAGGCCCAGATTTTCTCTCCTTTACTTTAGGGATCCCGGTTGTGTGCAAAGCAAGGGCAGGTGTAGAAAACAGTTTTTTTTTCATCAGAGCGCGGTTTCAGGAGGTTCCGACTCCAAGCCTTGGCGAGGCGGCGCATTCGCAGCAGCTGCTGCAGCAGCAGCAGCTGGTGCCACCCTGAGACGGACTTCAGCGTCCAACGGCTTGGTGCGGCTGTAGGGCATGAACTGCCTGGAGTTTTTTCAGTACCAGGGGACACAAGGGAACTCATGGGGAGAACATAAACACGCAAAAAAAGGCGCAACCATATCTATTTGGGCTCAAGGCTTTGCCTCAACGCTTAGTCAATTTGGAGCGCTCGCAGATCTTTCGCCATGGCCATGGAGTTGGAGGACACCCAGGAGCTTCTCACGGAGCAGCCGGCGAAGGTGAAGTCCTCTCGCTGGTACGTGTTGGGTGCCGTGGCAGCTGTGGTCTTCGTGGGGTGCGTGGGGGTTGTTTCGGCCTCGCGCAGCCGCTCTCAGACCTTGGCCAGCAAGAAGGACTTGGTGCAGAACTGGGAGGAGATCCCCGGAATCGACCGAGTCGTCAAGAAGGCGGAGAATTTGGAGTTGAAGCAGCCCCTGCGCAACCTGAACGATCTCTTCTACTCCTCCCAGCCAGAGGAGCTGCCGTGGATCCGAACGGAGTGCGTCATTGATACGGTGCAGGCTGCCGCCTACCTGGGCCAGGCGGTGGTCTTCCTCTACAAGGCGATTGAGTACGACGGCCTGGAGTGCCCGGACAACACCCCGGTGGGCTGCGCGGTGAGCGTTGCTGGATTCATCACCTCCATCACCTGGATCGCCTCGTACCTCTCCTTTGCCGCCAACGCCTGCGGTGCTGCGGTGAACTCGGGCGCCTTGTGTGCCGGTGACTGGACGGCCTTGATGGCCAACTTCGGGGAGATGGCCACCGTGGGAGCCGCAGTGAAGGACGACTGCGACTTCAGCACCGACTGGGGCTCCATCCTGAACCTCACCGACTCCTCGGGCCCTCCTCCGCCCATCTGGCAGCAGTTCGTGCCTGCCGGGGCGGCGCCCACTGTGGAGACCTACCAGAAGGTGAAGGCGCTCCGGGAGTCAAACACCAACCGCAACATGGACATCACGCAGTGCGTTATGGACGTGACCAACTCGGCCTCTTACGTGGTCCGTGCCATCTTGCAGATTCGCTCCGCCACATCTGCATGCCCCGATCCCAAGGCGTGTGCAATCAACATCATGAACATAATTTCGAGTTTCGCTTGGATCTCGCAGTTCACAGCCCTGGCTGTCTCAGATTGCCCAGAGGGGGGCAACCAGAAGGCCTTGTGCACTGCGGACATCTCGGACATGGTGGCGGCAGTGACCAACGGCCCCGCCGCGGGGATCGCGACCACCTCGGACTGCGCTGACCTGCCGGACCCGCTGGAGGAAGTGAAGCATTTGCCCATGGACTAAGCTCCTGTGATGCACAGCCTGTAGCCACACACAGTTGGCTTTCAGGCTGTGAGTCTGTCGGTTGGAGACCGCCTTTTCCATTGATCCCGGCCATGGCCGGGGTCGCTACTCAAGCCTGCAGTCTCTTGCAATAGTGTTGCAGGTCCAAGTAGCCCAAGTCCTGAAACAAGCTGCCTACCAGAACAATCTTGTTCCTACAGTAGCCTACAGTTCAAACTCCGGACTCTAGCATAGCTTGGCCCCGTGGGCGAAGCTCGCAGGGGCGGAGCATTGCTGCCTTTTGCAAGAAATCGCACCCAAACGATTTTGCAGGGCATCAGGACCTTCACCAACACGGTGTGTCTGGCCTGGAGTGTGCCTTGTGTTTTAATCGGACTATCCTAGGAAGACAAAACAAAAACACCCAACAAACAAAAGCAACCACCGGGGGGTTTTGTCCAGCTTTCCACCAGGCGATCTTGGGAAAAAAGCCTATGGTGCGTTTCTGAGGCGGCCGCAGCACAGGCCCAGCAAGAGCAGGCCTGCGAGTCTGGGGGCTCCCTATATGCAGGGTTCCCCCATAGACTTCAACCCAGTGGTTCATTCGCCCAAGGAGAACCCCTAGGTTCAAGTCTTTCTAGTCAAAAAGCAGAACCTGATGATATGTCTCTTCGCTTTGCGCCTTACCTTTTGGTTGCTTGCTAGATGAGTGACGCGGGACATAGTTTTTTGGGATGCGCCAGCTATGACTTGGCGTTGCGTGATGTCAATGCTCCGGAATATGTGCATGACAAGAGCCCTTGATTGAAAAGGCCTGAATTGCTATGTTGCTTCACAGGTTTCGTTACATTGGGCTGTTTCCGTACCCTGCAACAGGTCAATACACCGTGTAGGCGGCTTCGATGACTCGCGGTTTTTTCATGGGTTGAAATGGTAGAGCCCCCTTTGCACGGGCGGTTTCCGTTTTGGTTTCCGCTACCCTCAAAAACAGATGGGCGTTTGCCTGTTTTTTCAGGATGCCCTTTTTTCGGGGTTGGCTCAAAGAGGAGCCCAAAACCGGACCAACTCCAACCAGTTTGATTGGGGTCCAACGGCCCCCCATTTTCGGACACACCCAGATCCCAGACAGACCCCCGTGAGTTTAGGCGGCCGCCATGCTCTTTGGCATGGGTTGGGGCGCCAAGCGTCGCCTCCATTTGGCATGCTCGAAGCCAGGGAAATGGGATGGTGCATTGAACCAACAGCTACCTGGGGTCTGGTGGTTTCATTTTGACCCATATATCGCGGTCAAAAAATTAATGGGCTAGGCTTACACAGGTTTTAGTCTCTGGTTCCATTTTCACAAAGGGGCCATTTAGGGCACAATTGTTGGAGCCACTGGCATATGGGGAGACATCAATGTGGCGGAGCGGTTCTGATTTGAGAAGGACAAGAGGATTTGAGAGGACCGCTCCACATCCACGATGGAAGGGCAGGCCTTTGGTCTTCATTGCGACCTCAGGCTGCATGAACCCCATGAACATGATGGGCATGTCAGAAGCTCAGATAGGTCAGGTCACCTCTGGCAAAACATCTTCGAAGCGAAGGCAAGGAGCTGTGGCCAGCAGTGGCGAGACGTCAGAACTTCGCTTCGGTGCGAAGCTTCCTCAGGAACATGGGTTATATGATGCCTGGAATGCCCGGAGCCCCAAGAGCAGGAGGACAAGGGTGGGGCGACAGAAACTCGACTTTGAGATGGTTCATGGCCCGATTTTTGTTTGTGGTTTCCCTTTAACACCGCCAAACATGGGCTGCTTCCCCCCCCCCGGAAAAAGACCCCCCCCCTAAAGGGAACACCATGGAAGGTCGCCAAGCACTGCTGAAATTGTCGCGCCCAGGGATATGACTGCCTTGATGGCAGGCGGGTGCACCGGTGGACTTTTCTCAGCTTTGGATTAGAAGAAAAAGGACATGGGTGTGGATCAAAGGGTCCGATGAACAGGACCCCCCCCCCAAAAAAAAAGGATGACTTTCACCGCCTGGGAAAAGTTGGCCATGGTCAAAACTGGGTGCCCCTAACTCGAAAATTGATCCAGCCCACATAGACTTCGCTTGGCGATGCCCCTTGCCCCTCTTTAGGGCGTGCTATGGATCTGCGAGGTGGGCCGTTCTCGATTTCGACTGCTCTGCCAGGCACCATGCCTCAGGCACAGGCCACCCCAGAGGCGATTCAGGCCGTGGGGAGAGAGGTGGCGAGATCTGGGGAGACCAGTTGGCCGTGGTTGTCAAAACCGTTTTGGGATCCCATTTTGGGGTCACCCATTTTTGTCTAGGGATTGGGATGTTCACTGGGGGGTACCGGATTTTGACGCATGGCCACACGTCCTCAAAACCCAGGTAAGTGAAGGTTAGTAAGGGACAGTCCCCTTGCCATGAATAGCTGTGGCCGCCTTTCTATGGTTCTGGGTCAACCATATTAATACCGGCTTTTGATTGTGACTCAGTTGGGCTCTTCGGGCTTTTGGCACCAAATTGGGCGGGGGGCTGGCCAGGTGTCACGCTCTGGAGTTACAAGGTGTTCTTTCCCCCTGAGTTCAAATCCGGTTTCTCCTATCATGTCTCAGGGAAACTATATTCCCACAACCAGGGAACTCACGAATTGTCCTCCTGTCCTTTGCGGTAGACACGTATTGTGACCTTGTGACCGCACATGGATTCCTGTCAGTGCCATGCTTTGAGGCAGCTCAAGCGCAGCAGCAAGCGGCAGCCCAACTCTCGGATCAACATTGTGGAAACAACTGGCTCTGCCAGCATGTGGTGTCATCCCAGAAGTGATCTATGCCGGGCAGATCTGCTGCACCTCAAATCAGTGATGGCTGTGTGTTGCTTTCATGTAGCAGACAAGCCAATGACATTCGTGTTCAAGACCTAGGCGAGCCCCGCTGCTGCGCAGCAGCAGCAAATGCTGCTGCAGCAGCAACAGCTGCAGCAGCAACAGCTGCAACAGCAACAGCAGCAGTCGCAGAAGCCACAGCCGGTACAGCCAGGTCTGGCCGCAAGTTGTTCAATTTTGTACAAGAGTTCACAGCACTTTGCGTGTCCCGTTGTAGGGCACCGCTTTTTCTCATGGTTTTAAAGGCAAGCCAAAAGGGAAACCGCCCTTTTGCGCCTTTTGGGGGGTCCCCTACCAAAAACAACAACAAGGAATCAAAAGCCGCAGAGTCGAATTGATGCCGCCGCTGCAGGACCTGTGCCGGCGCTTGGGACTGCCCAGGCACTGCCAATGACGCACATGCTGGCTGGTTCAGACTTGAGAAATTGGCACCCGGAAAAAAAAGAAGAACCGAGAAAGCCCATGTCCGGCAAAGGCTCGGTGGGTTCCATAGCTGGGAAGGTTTGGCCCCCTTGTTTTCGGCGGCGCCTTCTGCAATCAGACGACCAAAAGGGGGGTCCATTTCCCAGATCCCCAAGGCACTGATGGCTTTAGCCTTTGGCTATGAGAGAAGACTCCGACAGGCACAGCAAAAGCCCGGCGCAAAGGCCTGGGATCTGGAGTGAGTATCTGGATGGAGTGTGTCATGCTCGCGGCCTTGCAGAGCTTTGCATGAGGTGCTATCAAACCCACGGCCGAAATGAGTCAGTATTCACAAGAGGGCGCCACTTCAAGGATTTTTTTCTGGATTAGCTGCGCGTCTGCACGAGTTTGACGCCGTTTTGCATGACTGCAAGGCAGATGACGATGAAGAGGCTCCCTGGAAGCGGTCCAGACGTGCCAAATCCTCGGGAAAAACGACCTCTAGGTCGGCTTTTTGCGCCCTTAGCATCACTCCGTTTGGGGTTCCCAAACACGGATTCGCTCTGTTTCGCCGTGCTCCTCCTTTCGGAGTCGCGCATTTCCGTTTTGAGGAACACACGACTTCGCCGGTTTCATCCTCCTTTCGCTGTGTTTCTGCTTCGGCGTTGATGGCCGCTTGCAGTGGACCAAGGCCAGGAAGGAGGAGGCCAAGGCGCGCGGTGCCGCCAGCTGGCAGGGGAAAGCACCAAAGTGTGGCTGGCCGATTCGATTTGTTTCCCATTTGTCCTTTTTTTTTTTTTCGGGCCGGATAGAAGTAGGGACACCTGTTTCTCAGCCTTAACCAGAGTTGTTTCATCCGCTTGCCGCTGGGCTTGAGGAAGACCAGGTTGAAGCATGTGTCAGATCCGCCTGCAGGACAACAAGGAGAACGGTGCTCACGCTGCCAAGGCAGGGACCCCCCCCCAAAAAAAAAATGCCGCTTCGTCTATGTATTTCCTCATTTTGCCTCTTGTTTCGGCTTGGAGGTATGGAGACTCTGTGCATCTGTAGATTTGAGCTGATCCTTCCGCTATCCATAGGTTTACTTGCGCCTTTGGGGGGCCCAAAGGCCCGACTCGGCTTTCTTCCGCCCGAGCGAGCTTTGCGTTCAGGAGTTGAACGGAGATGCTCATCATGCCAAAGAGCCTGAGAAGGTCGAGGCTCCGACCGGCTCCCCTTGAAGTCATCAACCCTTGGTCATCAACCCCTTGGGGTTTAGACAACCAGCGCCCCCTCCGCAAACAAGCCTGAGACCAGCAGAGTGCGGCAACCCCGACCCAGATATGGCCTTCGCGGAGTTTTGTTTGTAGGTGGCCAAAGTTGAGACCAGCGACATGGCCATTGACAAGGAGAAGGACAAGAGCCAGGTTTTGTTCATTGCAGCACTGCCATACACCAGGTCACCCTTAGTTGGTTGGGATTGGTGGTTTGGATTTGGATTTGAACCTGTAGTTCTTGTGGAGGGTAGATGGGACTCCTCTCCTTAGCCGCCAAACCACCGGGCTCCAAGCCACCAATTGCAGGGAAGCTGAAATAAACCAGGCGCCGTAAATCCCTCCAGCCCGACTTGTCAACAGGAGACGCAGAAGAAGGACAGCGACAGCTCAGAGGACGAGAAGCCGAAAGCGAAGTCAGACAGCCCTTTGGCTGCGTTTCGGTCTTTTTCTTCACGCAGGCCCAGCTTCCATCCGGATTGTTTTTTTTCATCCCCTTTCTACATTGATACATTCTGGGCTGGCCTGGGAAACAAATTCACGAGTTTTCCCGAGGTTTACCCTCCCACCAGCTGACATGGAAGTGCACAGACCCCTGTAGCAAGACTACTTTCCTCTTGGAAAGGGCCTTTTACTTCCATGTTAGTTGGTGGGAGGGCAGAATTTAGAGACGGGAGCAGAACCGGAGGGTCGGGGATCTTGAGGCTCTGACAGCAGCGATGACAAGCGCAAGCGGAAGAAGTCTCAGTCGGCGGAGGCTAAGAAGGCGACGGTGCGCTGCAAGAATTTTTGGTCGGAGCTTGGGTATGAACTTCAAAAGGGGACCTTTGGGTGGACATCATTTGGCTGTGGGTCAAAAATAGGTACCCAAAATGGAGCTCTGGTATATTTAACCAACAGCTAAAACCTGGCCCCCCCTGGTGGTGTACTTTTGACCCATACCCATTTAGGTGGCTGTTCATGCCCAGCAGCCACTTTGGAATGGGACGATTAACTGTGGGCCTGCATTCTGGTAACGCAAGACCTAGACACCTCCCGAAAAATGGTCCGGTTTCTCTTTGGGCTTCCCTTTCAAGACCAAAAAAGGCAACCCTGCAAATAGCACTTCCACATGAGCAGCAGAAACTTGTGTGGCTTGAGCTGTTTGCATCCCAGGATTGAGCCTAGGTGTGGTCTAGATAATGCTTTGTGATGAAGCAACGGCACACGACTTGGTAGGCTAAGTCGAGCAGTTCAAGCGATGATGAGAAGAAGAAAAAGAAGGCGGATAGCTCCGACGACGAGAAGGAGAAGAAGAAGGCGGATAGCTCCGACGACGAGAAGGAGAAGAAGAAGGCGGATAGCTCCGACGATGAGAAGGAGAAGAAAAAGGCTGATAGCTCCGACGATGAGAAGGAGAAGAAGAAGGCTGATAGCTCCGACGATGAGAAGGAGAAGAAGAAGGCTGATAGCTCCGACGATGAGAAGGAGAAGAAGAAGGCTGATAGCTCTGACGACGAGAAGGAGAAGAAGAAGGCTGATAGCTCCGATGATGAGAAGGAGAAGAAGAAGGCTGATAGCTCCGATGATGAGAAGGAGAAGAAGAAGGCTGATAGCTCTGACGATGAGAAGGAGAAGAAGAAGGCTGATAGCTCCGACGATGAGAAGGAGAAGAAGAAGGCTGATAGCTCCGACGATGAGAAGGACAAGAAGAAGGCTGATAGCTCTGACGACGAGAAGGAGAAGAAGAAGGCTGATAGCTCCGACGATGAGAAGGAGAAGAAAAAGGCTGACAGCTCTGACGACGAGAAGGAGAAGAAAAAGGCTGATAGCTCCGATGATGAGAAGGAGAAGAAGAAGGCTGATAGCTCTGACGATGAGAAGGAGAAGGAGAAGGCTGATAGCTCTGACGAGAGTTTCGATGTGTTGTGTGAGGTGTTTGCGGGCATTTGATGGCTTTAACTGCGCACTTCTTGATTCCTGCACTTTAAGCTTTTTGGGAACACCGTTTTAGTGGTAAACAGCAAGTTTTGACCTTTCTTGACCCATCCACTCAGGACGTGAGACTGGTTTCGAGAGGTTTCCTGGCTTGCGACATTTCCCTTTGGTACATTCATGAGGTTCCATTCCGATTTACTCATACTGTTCTCGCCACCAGTCTGCCTGCTCTTGACTTGATTTGGCCAGGAAAGGGAAGAAGACAAAAAGGCGGAGGAGAAGCTTGCACACGCTAGTTGCGAGTTTGCCACTCTTTGCTTCCGTTTTTTTTTGCCGCATGTGTTGCTTGTCGCAGTCTAACCACTGTCTTTCCCCTCGTGTGCGCATTCATGCAGGAGAACGGCATTTGCCGCGAATGACATAAAGATTGATGAAGCTTACACAATTCGAGCGCCGCCTGGGGCCTTTGTAAATCGTTCTGATCGTTTTAGTAGAATCAACGATCAATGAATTTCGGGCACTTCTCATGTGACACGTTTTCATCGTCAGCACCACACAATTGACACGCTTTGACAGTCAATCATGTGAGGAGGAGGAGCCGCCAATGGAGAAGACAGACGTGGAAGAGGAAGACGAAGAGGAGGCGTCCGCGTGAGCTTTACACTTCCCATTTCTTTGTATGCATCGTCACACTTGCCACCAGAGTCCTTCCCCAGAATTAGCTCCCTTTTTAGATTTTTTGCTTTTTTGGGGTCCCTTTGTTTCCCACCAACCAGGCATTTTTTTTTGCCGGGGTCCTAAGTCCAGCCAATAATCCTTTGTTGGGGGCTCGCTTCCGGTTCGGGGAGCATTTCCGCAGGCGAAGACCAGTGTGGCTGCCGAATCTGAGGCGGAGGATGGGCTCGCGTGATGGCACTCATGACCACCCCCTTGATGGACGCATAAACTCAAGGGACACTTGGGTGGATCATTTTTCTTCTGGACCTCCAAAATGGTGGTTTTTCCTTTGGTTTCCCTTTAAAGCCACCAAACAGGGATTATCAAAACCGGGTAGATGAAGGGTATGGGATAATCCCAACCATAAAATGTGTGCAGCCGCATGTTTGATTCTTTACATGGTTCTGGGTAGACAAACAAAACACATAGTACCCATTTCGGTTTTGATTTTATGACTCACTTGTGGCTCCCGCTCTGCTTCCATCAGCTCTTGGCTCTAAGCGCGCGCACAAATCAGGACTTCGACGGGGTGAAGTTCAAGCTGCTCTTCGGCAGCCAGGACGCGGATGTCTTTTAAGCCAGGTGGGCCTTGCGAAACTTTTGCCCAGAGAAAGAGGCGCCATGAACAGCTTTTTTTTTTTTTAAGGGGACCCCTCGAAAATGGGTGTTATTTTTCTTCTTCTTTTCTCTCCTCCTTGGTTTCCCTTGAAAACCAACACTAATGGATTATCCGCAAAGAGAGAGGAAAACCAGTTGCAAGCTGGCTGTAGGGATTAGGATATCGGGCCCTCAGCGCTCGTAGTCTCTGTACAAACTGTCGGCAAACGTTTGCTTTGCGTGATTTTGTTGGAGTTGGCTCCTCGAGAAATGAGTGTGTCCAAGTTGGAGGTACCCTATTTTGGTTTTAATCGGAAACGAAAAGTAAACCCACCATTGTTTGGAGAGGGGTCCAATGCGCGCGTGGAATCCCGCAGTTTCCAGGAAGGCCTGGTTGGTTTCCCCTTCGTATCCACAAAGCACCCCTAATTTGGGGAGGGGTGACCCCTAGAATTTAATTTTGGTTTGTCTCAAAATAGGGGAGCCCCTGAAATGTCTCCCTTTCCTTTGGGTTTCCCTCTAACATGACACCAAAAGGGGCTCCGAGGACTTTTCCCCCATCTCCGGTAGGGCGGTGGGGGGCGTCTCCCAGTCTCGGGGGACTCTAGGTAGGCGGGAGGGGGAGTCCCGGATTGCTTACACCAAAGGACTATCGTGTGTGTGTGTGTGAAACCCCTGTCCCTAAGGGGTCTGTTGGATTTTTCGATCTTTGGAATCGGGTGCCGCCATGCGGATTGCTGATTCAAAAGTACCTCGAGATTGGCGATGGCACCCCTGATGAGGACGCCTCTAACGAGCGAAATTGTCTCAGGATAAGCATGCCGAAACTCCACGGACATCCCTTTGAATGCGAGTGCTTTGTCCTTGTCCTTGTTCTTGTACTGCCTCAAAATCAAGTGTGTGTCGGCACTGCTTCCGGACTTCGGTCAGTGTCGTGAACCCTTCGGGGCACCTGATTCCGTACCGGTACAGACTGGCACCTCTGACTTTTACCAACGACTTTTACCGTTGACCTTCGACCTCCCTCTTTTGACCATTGCCAATGACTTTCACCAATGATTTGGACTCTTACCTGAATCTGTCTTCTGAAACAACGACTTCTTTCCAATGACTGATTCAAAGAGACTGCTCCCGAATTCTACCCCGACTGGCACCCAGGATCTCCGGCTCGTTAGGTAGTGGCACGGATCAGGCAACACGCTGCGCATGAATGACCGGATGCTGCGCTGCACAGCCTTACTTTTTTGTTTTCTTTTTGGTTTTCTTTTTCTTTCTGTTTTTCTTCTTCTTTTTCTTTTTCTTTTTCTTTTTCTTTTTCTTTTTCTTTTTCTTTTTCTTGTTCTTTTTCTTTTTCTTTTTCTTTTTCTTTTTCCTTTCCTTTTTCTTTTCTTTTTGTCGTGTTTTCCTTTTCCTTGTGCTTTTTCTTTCTTTTGGGGTGTTTGCTTCTTGGCGGGTTCTGGGTGTGGACCCTGAAGCCTGTTGGTTGTGGTTGCCCTTCCCTTTCGCGGGTCCCCTCTTTCTTTCTGGTTTGGGGTTTGGTCCTGTGTTAAACTTTCGTTTTTGCTTGACCGGAATACACCCGCACCGTGTCGCGCACGACTCGCGACCCACGACCAGGGGAGCAGGATGGTCCTCCAGTGAATCCACATAGGCAGGCGCGAGTGTATGGTCAACGAGGCGCGAGTGTATGATCAACGACCAAAAATTCCATCGCGAATCATGATGGAGGCAGTCTCCCCCTTCGGGGTGTGTGTGTGTGTGAAACCCCTGTTCCTAAGGGGTCTTTTGGATTTTTCGATCTGTGGACCGGGTGCCACCGTGCGGATTGCTGATTCAAAGTACCTCGAGATGCTCATCTGCTGAAAGCAAGAACTCCTGCCAAGGAAAACCCAAATGACGCACGTCTTCTTTGCTTGACATGTGAGTCTGGCCCTTTGGCGCTGCTTGTGCCTGCAATAGAAAGGCTCTGACTCCCTGCAAAGTCACGCTTCTTGGCAGAAGACCTAGATGACGAGCTCCCAGTTGAAACTGGCAACTCTTGGCACCCCTGATGAGGACGCCTCTATCGAGCGAAATTGTGTCAGGATAAGCATGCCGAAACTCCACGGACATTTGTCATTGTCTTTGTTCTTGTACTGCCTCAAAATCAAGTGTGTGTGGCATCCGAAAGGAACCCATGCCGGTGCTCGGGGAATGAACCGTTCGTGCGGTTCCAAGGGGAACACCCGTTACCCTCCCGGTTCACCAAAACCCCGGTTGCTTCCCTGAGAATCATCAAGTTGTTAGCATCTATTTGGCGATGTGCCAAAATAGGCGGAGCCGAAAACGTTTTTTTGGTACCCTTTGGCGGGATACTGGGTGGGGGCGTGGTGCAGTGGCGTCGCAAACGCGGATTCCAACATAAAATCTAACAACCCCTAACAACCTAAGATCTTGGCTCAGAACCACCAAGAATTGGGAGGCTAGGGAGGTCGGTGTCCCTTTTACTTTTAATCAAATCACCAAACCTTCAAGTTGGGAATTCAGGGTTCCCCAATATCCTTGCTTGGAACCACCAGAAGGGTTGGCAACCAGGGACGCGCGGAAGCGCGCTCAGGGCTTTTTATCCGGGCGATGGGCTTGCTTGCTTTTTTCGAGGCTCAGCCCTCTTTCAAGTAGCAAAATGGTTGTGTTTTTGAGAGTACCATGCAGCTTGGCTTAAAGGGAAGCCAGAGCAGCTCGCCAGCGGATCCCGCCGAGTATCCCGCCAGAGTAGCTCGTTAGTGGATATCTCCGAGTATCCCGCCAGAGCTGCTCGGTGGGCTGCTCGCTGGGATACTCGGCGGGAACCGCCTGGCAGGATACTTGGCGGGAGGCGGGATCCACGAACAAGCTACTCTGGGATACTCAGCGGGATACTCGGCGGGACCCACTGGCAGGCTGCTCTGGCGGGATACTCGGCGAGCCGCTCTGGCCAGATACTTGGCGGGAGCCACTGGCGAGCCGCTCTGGCGGGGGCCCCTGGCGAGCAGCTCTGGCGGGGTGCTGGGCGGGATCCACTGGCCGAGTATCCCGCTGAGCATTTCAGAGTAGCTCCAGAGTAGCTCGCCAGTGGATCCCGCCGAGTATCCCGCTGAGCATCCCAGAGTAGCTCGTTAGTGGATCCCACCAGAGCAGCCCGCCAGTGGGTCCCGTCCGGCCAGTATTGAGCCGGAACGGCTCGCCAGTATTCGCCAGTGGATCCCGCCAGTATCCCGCCAGAGCATGCCAGAGCAGCTCGCCAGTCTTAATGTCCAAAAGGGCCGATGGGAATTTGGAGTCGAAGTCTCTGGGATGCGGAGGGAATTTGTTGTAACGGTCGTAAGCTCGTGAGTGTGGAGGGTGGGGATTGCTCGAAGCGAAGTTTTCGTTTTTTTTTTTTTTTTGGGGGGGGGATTTTTTGGCTTTTGTTGGTCCAGCGCTAGTTTCGGCCTTTTCGCCGGGCCCACGCTCTGAGGCATGATATGAATGAAGGACCCCCCCAATTGTAATCGGGTGGGATGCCTTGGAAGGACTACCCCTCCACAAAATGCGGGGATCAAATGTTTCAGGGGTCGATGAATCAAACACCACCCTAAAGTACCCTAAGCCCACCCTTGTGAAGTTGCTGCACGTTGCCCTGCAGACGCGGCAGACATTGACGAAAGGTTGCAGCCTCCATTGCTATTCCCACGAGAAAGGCGGCCTTGCCCTCTTGACGATGACCCCGAGCACATAATGTGTTAAATGGGAATGGTTAATTCGGGCTAAGTAGGTCCAACACTTCATACGGCTGGAAGTAAGAACGAAACAGATAATATGATTAAAGGCGTCTGTAACGGGTGGGCAAATCTAGCTGAGCGCACAAGCTGACCAGGACCTCGCCGGCAGCGCGCAGGCTTTCGACCTGGCTCAGGGCGGGGAGCCGGTGACCGCCGGACGCTACGCGCGGAAGCCCGGGGGGCTCGTCCCCGTTTTTGTTGGGTTTGAAAGGACACCAAAAGGAAACTCCTCCCTCCCCCATTTTTTGGAAACCTTTTTTTTAAGCACACAATTGCTTGGGCGTTTTTTGGAGGACATTCAAATTGAACCCCCCCCCAAACAAGAATCCTCAAGAGATTTGCAGAAGGGGCATGCCAGCATGCCCTCACACATCGTTTGTGGACATAAAGCCCAAGGAAGGTGAAGTCCAGGGTCTCCAGTTAAGATTTATACCCATCTCCGGGGTAAAGAAGCAAACCAAGCAGCAAATGTGTAGGACAAGATCAGGGTGTGGCTCAAAATTAAACAGGAGGGGCAAACCGCAGGTTTTGGTCCATGTTTGCGCTTACCAGGATTCCATTTTGGTACCGGTTTTTTGAGCCACAGCCATCTTGGCTTGACGTCCGGCCCTTAGAAGCGAGTGACTGAAAGGACTGCTTGACCGCCCAGGTCAAGAACTCTGCATCTTGGCTGAGGGGCGGTGCGTCCACGGCAGGGACGGCCAAGGGACTGCAACTGAAGGGATTCAACGTGTCAAGTACGTGGTTTTTTTGGCAGAACTCGCTTCTGACATAGTCCCAAATGGAATTGTACTGTTTGAGGGTACCCTATTTTGCGGATTTCAAGCAGAACCAAGTAAGGTCCCCCCCAAAACTCACATGCAAATGTCCAGAGGTGGCAAACGCAACGTGTTCTCACTTGAGACTCGCGGGATGCGGATGGAGTTGCGGAGACCGAGGTAGTGCTGACGCCTCTAGGCATCTCCAACAAGCACCTCTCCTTCGAGACCTGCCGGCAAGTTCTTGAATATAACCCCTATCGCTGGGGCGATGGGTCGGGTGTGCCCGGGTCCAGGTGGTGGTTGAATGAATGAACCGGTTTTTTGGGGGATTCCCTAATTAAAGAAACCGATAGGGGATTGATGTTTGTAGGGGTCATTCCACTTCTCATTCCCTGCTGACTGTTGTTAGTGTGTTTCTCAAAATGACTTGGGCAATTTCAACCTGCAGGTTGAGTCACGTCCTTGTGGTTCCCTCCCCCCCCAAAAAAATAATAGATAAAAATAAAAGTGACGGTAAAACAGAGAACATCCTAATGATAATAAGATACATAAAAAAAGTCCAACCAAATTTGTTAGATAGACCCGCACAATCTCATTTGGGGCTGACAGGGGGCACACACACACACACACGAAAATAGCATCAGGAAATGAGCGCGGCTCAGCAAGCTCTCTGGTCATTGGGCAAGTGTCGACTGCTTTGCAGGTGTTCAGGTGTTCAGAAAGATGAAGGGTCGTGTTTGCCAGGTTGATCCCGGAGAAGGACCCGGGTGGATGTGCCAGGGATATATGGTGCGGTGTGTGTGTGCGTGCGTGTGTGTGTGTGTGTGTGTGGATGGCGCTGTTGGAGATACCGACTGGTGCCTGAGCTGACCCAGATTTGGCACCGCATTCAGGTTGAGTTGAAGCTCGGAGAAGAAGCCAGAACCCCCATTTGCTTAAATAGATATTTTCATTTTTCCCTGTTGGTTTTAAAGGGAATCTATGACTACTGGAAATATATTTTTTTTTCAGGGGGCTTAAGCGAATGAAAGAGAATGCTTGGAGATGTCCAAGCTTCGCATCCCCGTGGTTTCGCGGCTGAATCCAGGAAGCCGAGGCGGCCAATGAAGCCGAGAAGGCTGGGTGACCAAATGGGTCAAAATTAAACTACCAGGAAATATGGATCGCAGGTTTAGTCCATGTTTCCACTTGTCAGGGTGTCAAATTTGGGTAGCTATTTTGACCCACAGCCAAATGGCCGTAAGTTTCTGTCATCCATGATATGAAGGGTCGCCTGGCACTCCTGCAAAAGGCATTGGCACTCACACCGCATCTGGGTGTGTCTCAACCTCGGGTACCCTCAAAATGGGCTTCGGTTTCCTTTTGGTTTCCCCTTGAAGCAACTAAAAAAGGAGGTGTCCCAAGAAACAAACAAGGGGGCACCAACAAAGGGTTTCCTTTGGTTTCCCAAAAATGGGGTACCACCTCCCCAAAAAGAGCCAGAAGCCGAATACGTTTCTCGAGGCGAAGCCTCGCTTGGGCCTCCGAGACGTCTCCTCCAACGGCACCGGGCTAGCGCCGCCCGGGCGCGCCCGGCCGAAGTTTTTGCGCCGGCGGTTGGGTCAACGCGGCGGTTTGGAGCGTCGCGCGGCTGGAAAAGGGGTTCCTGACCCAGCACTGTGGATGGCTGGGAATCCCAAATCGCCCCACTGAAATGAGAAACCGTGGTTGAAATAGATGGATGCTCCTTTCGCGCAAGTGACGTGGGGCCCTCCTATTCGGGGTTTGCAAGATGATTGAGAAAAGGGCAGGTTATCTAGAGCCCGCGCATTGGCGTAATGCACACGAAGAACGCCGGGCTGGGGAATCCTTAGCTGGGTCAAGCATGAAGGCCGACGGCTTCGAGCTGGATGATCCGTTGCTCCACACCGTAGTCTTTGCTGTTGACTTTGGGCGAATGGTATGCATCCCTGATTCTTATGTTGCAAGAGGTGCGTTTTTTGTTTGTTGCAAGAGCTGCGCCAAGGGGCCCGTCTTCTCCTACCATTTGGGGGGGGTGTCTTTTTTGCCGTTTTTAAAAGAACGCCAAAAGGAACATCGCCATCTGGCAGAAAAGTTGGAGCCCTTGGATTCGGAGTGAGCCGTTGAGATTGCACCAAGCCTTTGGGCATGGAATTCCAGCGCGAGCTGCTGAGCTGCCAGGGGAATTCTGAAAAGAATCGCCAAAGGCGAGCTGATGCCCGTGGAGGAGACATCGCAGCCGCAGCCCCCCCAAAAAATCAAAACCCCGGGCCCCGGGCTAGGCTTTGACTGGGAAAAAAAGGGGGCTGGAGGAAGACATGAGCCTTGACCCAAAACCTTTTGGCCTGGGACTCGTTTATCAGTTTCCTGGGGGTGATGCTTAAAGGAAACATCTTTTTGGAGCTCGTTGGATGCGACCGCTCTGCAGGACGGCTCGATTGTGGTGCTCCCAATGCGCTTGAGGCGACTGGGATGTTACAGATGCTTGCGAAACATCTGAATCTGGTGCGTCTTCTTTTAGGGGACCCACAATGGTGGTATGTCCTTTTGGTTTCCCTTCAAATCCACCAAACAGGGGTACCCTCAAAAGAAGACGGACGGCCTGGGCCCGGCTGCCGTTTTTTGAGGGATGACACCCCGAAGTCCCTTTTGGGCCGTGCGCCTTTCGGTTTTTTCGTCCGGAGGCGCGGGGACCCCAACGGGGATAGCAGCCGAGCATGGTTTTCCATCCACATTGGCCCGCGCCTCAAAGTGCGGATTGTGGGAAAATGGGTGTGGCTCGTCACTCTTTGAGGGTGCCCGGTTTGGTTTTAAAGGGAAACCAAACAGAACCCGAAGCCCATTTTGGGGGTCTCTTCTTCCGAAAATCCAAATTGGGCACCCTGAAGCAGTGGAGCTTTTCCAGCAAATGAGTCCTTGGTCCCTACATTTCCCTTGTACTCACTGGTCGTGCTTTTTTGTTTGCCTCAGGAAGTCCACCCCTTGGCCTCACCCAACCCCCTTTTCTCCTGAACCCCGATTGGAGCTCAGCTGGGGTTCGGTTCCGAGGCAAGCAGGTGCCCCCAGAGCCGCCAGCCAGACCAGAGATTCTGGAGTCGGAGGGCACCCCTGCCGTGGCCCCGGAGGCGCAATAAGAACGCGCAACGCGAGGAGAGCCGCAGTGATTTTGTGGGGGGGCTCGTCTTTTTTAAGATCCCCCCAAATGGCGCAAGCTGCTTTTATCCTTTTGGCTTCTCTTTAAAGATGCAAAAGAACAAGGTGCCAACTCAAGAAAGAAGCGCGCACCCTGGATAAAATTACGACCAATCCCAAACAATGGGTGCGGATATCCGCCCTCTGAATTTGTTACATTTGAGGTAGGCCCGAGGGTTGGATTGATGTCCAGACACAGACACCCTCCAGACATTTGTTGAGCCTAGGGTGGAAGCTGCGTAGGCTTCTTGGCTCGAAGCTACCCTCTTTCGCAAGAGGGCTGAGATGAGAGCGCCAGGATGCCAGGGGTGAGTGTCGCAGATGGCTTTTGTCCCCAAGGCTCCTGCAGGGCAAGCGGTGCAAAAAAAAGAGGCGGGTGGGTGCTTCCTTTCTGTCAAGCAAGAAGATGCAGACGGCCCCTTCTGGCGAACGGGGCAAGTGTATTCAATTGAGCCAGTAAGAACCCCTGCAGACTAATACAGGACTTGGGATGCTCTGCAAGAGATAGAGAGAGGACACTGAGGGCTAGCCAAACTTTGTCAAGTTTTTTGGCGTGGGCTTTGTACAGCATCAAGGTTTGGGCGCATCTCGTTCGAAGCATGCTTGGCCATGCTTCGTGGAGAATCGACAGGATGAAGATGCAGAGAGTGAGACAGAAAAAGAGGCAGAGGAGGAGGATGAGGAGAAGGAGAAGGACGAGGAGAAGGAAAAGGACCGGCTTTGTAGAGCGGTTTGTTCTGACCTTGTATCGGCCTTTCCTTTTTATCGACAAGTATCGTGCTTCTTGCAGCTTGTTTACATCCCAAAAGCCTACCTCAGAGCTACAGAGGCACACACTCCTGTCCGTATCATACCCAGAGAGTGATTTCTGACCGGCTTCCTTTCCGCATGCGGCTTGGGGCTCAAACACAGGCTTATTTCGGTAGAAAGCCCAGCATGGACACAGGAAACCTCGGCAGAACCAAGCAACCGCCGTGGACATGCGAAGAATGGGTGCCAAGCAAACAGCCTGGCAAACCCGCGGCAAAAATCTGATCCGCTTCCGCCCTCTGATCGCCTCCGTCTCGCATTCCGTGGGCCGGTGCTATGGCCATGGAGGGCCACGCGGCGGTGCTGGCGCTGGGCCGCTGCAGCAGCGGGGAGCAGCTGAGGAGCCGCGTGTGCTGCCGGGAGCTGCACCAAGCTGCGTCCTGGAGCGTCCAGGAGCTGCGACTGCCCCTGAGACGGAGCTGGGGGAGGGGTTGGGTTGGGGTCTCGATGGATGAGACATGGAATGAGGCCATGGCTCAAAGCATTCCAGCATTATGGCTTTTCACGAATTTGGGGGGTTCCATCGGTCATAGGGCGGAGGGCGGGGAATGAGGCATAGAGTAAGCCTGAGTGAAAGCATTCCATATGGTTTCCTTTAAGGGAATCCCCTTGCGAACCATTCCAGGGAATGAGACATGGAATGACCCCAAGATTTAAAGCTTTCCCGACTTGGTTTCCTTTCAGGGAATCCCCAAAACCGGTTCATTCCCATACCCGGACAAGGTCATTCCCTACTGAGCACCAGAAAGAGGATGCCCCCAATGGAAGGCCATGAATGACCCATGCTTGATGCTCCTGGCTTTAGCAGTGAATAGCTGCAGCCTAGTTCAGTGGATAGTGCATTCAAAGCAGTCAGCAAAAGAGAAGTGCCTTTGCAACTTGCATGTGGTGCCAAGGTGCCCGCGTGACGACTGGCGAGCTCTTGCTGCCCTGCTGAAGGCACCTGGAGTCGAAAGCTTCTCGCCGTTGTGGGTGAAAAGCGACTAGACCTGTTATGAAGGTGCTTGCACCCAGCTGTGCCTCCAGCACACGAACCAAGTGCGGCTGTTTTTTCCTGCACCACGCGCATGGTCAAATCTGGGAAAGGCGCAAACGCCTTCATGGCGCTCAAGGCGCGCGTCCGCATGACTCGACTCGCGCTGCTCGAGGATCGCTCGCCAGCCGCGCACGCCCGCCAGGCCCTGCCCTACTTGCAACACTTCAACCTCCGGGGGCTCAGCAACCTCACTCAGGAGTTGCTGATGGAGCTCAGGCGAGCCTTCCAACACAATACCCACCCCCCAAAGGTTTCTCTGAAGCCCTTCTACTTCTACCCCTTGTAAGAAGATTGTAAGAGCCCTGTCACAAAGATGGGGGGTGCTACCTCCCTAAATGCGAAAGAGGTGGGGGTGGTGCAAGTTACAGATTCGGTTTCCACGACAGTGCGGCTCTGGTTGTGCAAGTTACGTATAGTCCCGGCACATGGGCTGACTTTGGCCAACTTGGGCAGGTTTTGCAACGGAAAGACAGGGTGGGCCACCGCCTTTCAAGATCTTGTAGAACCATTCAAAGCACCTCCAACGTGGTTTCCCAGAAAAGGGGATCAGGGTATGATTGTTAAACCAACCACCCGGTTGCTCTCTCTCCCACTAACAAAGCAACTGTGGCAGGGTACCTGGAAGATGAATTTCCTCTTTGGAGTGGCCATTTCCCTGTCGATGGGTGCCACGTTGGAAGGGAGGGCACCCGAACATCAGAAGGCCTCCCCCCTCCCTCCCCCCCTCCTCCCCAGCGCATCCAGGCGGCTGGCTCCGCGGGTGCAGAGCTGGGACGTGCGCTTTGCCATGCCGCTGCCCTGGACATGCCTGGAACAGTGGCTGCGGCAAGAGGCCCAGAAAGGCCGGGGGAAACTTGTCAAATCGGATGCGATGGATCCAATTCACAAATTCAAAGGTTGTGGGTGCGTTTTCCCCGTTGTGAGTTCATCAGCATCGGTGCGAATGTGCAGCAAGATATCGCTCGGAGTTTGCGCAGAAGGTAGTTCGCTCAGAGTTATAGCTAGGAAGACAAGCACATTGATGGACATTGGAGGATCGACCAAGCCAGCTCGCACGGCTGCACAGAAGCAATCGATGGCCACATTCAAGTCTGAAGCGATCCTTTCCACGGCAGGTGACTCGACGAGGCGTGGATCTTGGGTATTTTGACGGTTTCCAGGGTTTAGGAAGAAACTGGTTGTCCTCTACATCCAACCAGAAAAAAAGTAAATAATAATAATAAAACAAAACAAAAAAACACAAAAACAAATTATAAATTTGACCCCTTTTTTGGGGGTCTGTGTTTTTTAATTAGGGGACCCTCCAAAATGGCGCAACGGGGTTCCGTGTGGTTTCCCTTTGGAACCACCACACCCCATGTTGTGACACATACCCTGTGAACCGGAAAGCCAAAGCCAGTTCTAAGGTTTGCCGTTGACACATACCCTGTGTTTCAACCTGGGGAGCTCGTCGACATTGACGATTTTTTGGCCCACCAACATGGAGACCCCAAACAATAGCGATAGCCAGGGAGTGCTTGCTGTCCTTGGGGATTCTGTGAGCATGGGTGAGCTTTCATCGGTGGACATCATTTCCATGGGTGGTTGTGTCAACCATGTTTCAAGGGCGTTCCCCGATAAATCATAGCCAGCTTGGAATGCCCACAACCCTTTTGGGATTCTGGGAAAAGTCAAACGGGCAGTGGACCGTCAATTGAACCACTCTGAATGTTCACCAGTTTCTCGAATCACCTGGATATGGACCGCACAGTTTCGTCCTTGTTTCCATCCACCGGGGCAACCCACATACGCGGCTATGAATTTCAAGAGTTGGAACCCCCTGAAATTAAAGGTGATTGGCACGGGTCCCTTCCAAATACATCACCCATACCCATCATACGTGGGACTCCCTCCCCATGTTTGGGCTACCTCCACACTTTTTGGGCCGTATTTGTGGGACTCCCTCCTCATTTCAGGGGTGACCCATCATATGTGGGACTCCCCAGAAAGGGGGGGTGAGCCACACTTTTGACGTCCACATGGGAACCACGCGGGCGCGCCAGCCGTGGACGCGGACGCAGGACGCAGGTGCTCCACACGCTGGGCGCGCATCCCAGTCCTGAGCTCACCCCTCGGGAGGCCCGGCCCATCCCGGGGGGAAGGCATCGGTGCCCAGGGAGCCTGGGGGCTTGGAGCCCGGTGGATTCGGACAGCATAAATGTTGCCCTCTACAAGCTGGGCTCAAATTTCAACTCACGACCAATCCCAATCAATGAAATTACCTGAGATGGTTTGGGAAACAAGAGGAAAGCCAATTTTAATTTCTGACCCTGGCACCAAAGCACACCTTTGCTACGTTCCAAGAGTTGGGCCCACTTTGTTGCAGGGACAAGGGGCATTGACCATTGTCCCAAAGGTTTGGGTCTCGTTTGGTCCGTCCAGTGAGTCGAGGACTTGCAATTCCGATTTGGTCCAGTCATGTGCCTGGGTGGGTGACACATCCATACGTTTTGAGGGCACTCCTTTTTCTTGTGGCTTTAAAGGGAACCAAAAGGGAGAACCTCCATTTGAGTCTTCATCAAAAATCTGGTATCAACATGGTCTACCCAGAGCAATGTAAGGTAAAAAGGCGGATATCCGCACTTCATGGCAAGGGGATTCTCCCCTAACGTTTACCTGACATTTTGAGCAAGTTGCTCGTCTGGGCACCTGGGGTTGATCAATCTCTTTGGCCCCGAAATGAGCGGCAGCTCTTCCCATGGGAAATATCGAGTCGCTTTGGGTTTCCAACCAATGGCCATCCCATGTATCCCGGACCTTCCGATCACCACATGCTTTCCAGAACAAAAACACACCGAGGCCACCCAGAAGGGGCAAATGTTTTTTGGACTACCCACTTTGCACGTAACAAAGGGCAAGTTCTTTGCTTCACACCGGCGGCGAGTGACTTGTGGGGCCAGTTTTGGGCGCGCAAAGCATGAAAAAGCGCAGATGAACAATAGGTGTCTACTTGCATGTGCTGGCCTGGTCCCACTATGAATTGTAGGTGGCACGATGCCAGATGAAATCGCTAGCGTCGAGGCTGCATTCTGTGGATGCCTTGTGCAGGTGGTTGTTGCACAAGCCTATGCTCTCCATTGCGGCCGCATCGATGTTTGCTTCCGCTTCACCTCGCACTTGAACAGACTGATGACAGGCCGGCTCTGCCTTGGGGCTATGTAGCTTGGAGTTTATCGGCTTTCATGAGTCCTCAGTGGCCCGCGATCAATGAGTGACCCATTGGCTCGGGGACTCACAGCACGCGACGACTTGGTGAGACTGAGAACAAACCTGCGGACACCTCGACCATATCGTTGGAACTGCCTCCAGGTGATATTTCGTCCATCCCTCAATCGGATCGCCCAACTGCCACGATGACTTTGGCGTCTCGCAGGACCTTTGGAGCGATTCGCGCGCTTGTTCGACGCCCCCTCGCGCTGCTTGGCGCGAGATCGAAACTCGGTGCTGGTCGCTGACTTGCTTTCCTTTCAGAAACCATACCTCAAGAATGTTCGCAAAGCCCAGGCTGGTTTTTTGTCAGTTGATTCCGCAACTCGCCTGGAAGGGACTCTGGTGGCAAAAAGGACACTTTCCAGCTGGCCAAGCTTCCCTGGATTTGTTTCGCATGAAAGAGGCAGAAGAAACGGAGTCTTCCAGCTCCGCTTGTGCTTGGCCTTGCAACTCACCATTCGGCAGGGTCCAAGGGGCGGTTGCAACCTCTGCTCTCTGATGCTTGAAACTGCCACTCTGTCCACTCTTGGTTGCCAGCGATCTTGCTTGCTCCCGGGCCGCAGGCTGGAGTGAACTCCTGAAGTCAAGCAAGGGTGCTGGAGGCTCTGAGAAGTGCAAGTCTTTCAACCATGGACCGGCCCAAGAGGTGCTTGGTTTCCCTTTTGGTTTCCCTTTCCACTTCTTCTCCAGATGGGAGTTTAGATCAAAATCAGGGACCCCTTTTTGGGTGGGTTCTTAAAGGGAAACTCAAAGGAACACTACTCCGGGAATCGGTCCCCAATTTTGAGAACCACCCAAACTTGGGTCCCCCGGAAAGTTCCACTTCTTGACTTCCCGGACTTAAAATCCCAGGGGTGGTATTCACTACCTTAACCCAGAAGTCTTGGGCTAGTCGAAAGCTGGAGACCTGCCAGCTCCCAGCTCCCAGCTCAGTGCCGAGCGGAGGCTACGCCATCATGGTGGGCTGCGAGCGCTTTGCGGTGGAGGACACCGCCAAGGAGGGCGCGGCCCAGTGCTTCGTGGTGACCTTCTGGGGAGCGCCACAGAGCGCCCCGGCTGCAATCTGCGTGGCAAAACGTCTCATGCTGGGTTGGTGGGGGGGTGGGTGGGTTGATGGGTGGGTGTGGTGCGTTTGGGGCCGGGGGGGGATGTGGGTTGAGCCCTTCATGCGGCCTTCCTTGGTGTGACTTGGGCCTTGCAAGGCCCCGGAGGGAGGGAGAAGTCGCAGAGCTACATCTGGCAACTCTCCTGCGGCGGCCCGGCTGCAGTTGGCGAAGCAAGTCATACGCCAAGGCCAAGGCCATGCATTGACATCGAGGCTCCCACCCTTGAAAAGCAGCTGTGGGTTTGGGATGTGTCGTGTTTTCCCGAAGTCAAAGAGCAATCCGAGGTCAGATGGATGACGGATGCTGGAGCACCGACTCGGTGGTACCGCTGGACATCGCGCCTTGGAGAAGCTGACGACGAGGGAATTCCTTCTCGTCTGTTTGAGGGTACTGTGGTCGAGTGTTTGGGTTGTTTTGATAGGAGCACCAAGGGAAGTAACCCATTTCGGGGGGTTGCCCCGCCCTGAAAAAAGACAAGAATGCACGCAGCGTGACACCATAAACGTGAGGTTACCGTACATTCGGAGTGTTTCTCTCGCCGAGTCAGGACTCCTTCTGGGATGGCTCCTTTCTGGAGGAGTGAGCTACCGGCGCGGCGCGGGGTTGATTTGCTCAACGTGCACAAGATGATCTTCCAACCATTTGGGGACCCCACAAAATGCCGGGTTTCCTTTGGGTTTCCCTCTCTCGCGCACGCATTTGCACATGCGCGCAGACACTCGGAGACACACATTCTCTCTCGCTCTCTCTCTCTCTCTCTCTCTCTCGCTCTCTCTGTTTGTCACAGTGACAAGCATCAAACGCCAACAACATCGAAACACACACACACGCGCGCTCACACACACAAACACAAACACAAACACACAGAACGAACACACGCACACGCACAAGAGAACGCACAAGAGCACGCACACTCACACACGCACAGGCACACACAGGCACACACACGCACACACAGGCAAACACACACAGGCACACACACAGAGGCAAACACACACACACACACACCCACACACCCACACCCACACACCCACCCACCCACCCACCAACCCACCCACCCACGCACGCACGCACGCACGCACCCACCCACCCACCCACCCACGCACGCACGCACGCACGCCCGCCCGCGCGCGCGCGCGCGCACGCGCACGCACACCCACACGCACACGCACACGCACACGCACACGCGCACACGCGCACACGCACACACGCACGCACGCACACACGCACACACGCACACACACGCACACACGCACACAGCGCACACACGCACACACACGCACACACACGCACACACACGCACACACACGCGCACACACACACACAAACCCACAAACCCACAAACCCACAAACCCACAAACCCACAAACCCACAAACCCACAAACCCACAAACCCACAAACCCACAAACACACAAACCCACAAACACACAAACACACAAACACACAAACACACAAACACACACAAACACACACAAACACACACAAACACACACAAACACACACAAACACACACACACACACACACACAACCACACACACAAACACACACACACACACACACACACAAACACACAACCACACACACAAACACACTTATCTCGAGAGGCTGCTCTTGCAGACACGCGATTGTACTGAAAGGGCATGAAAAAATCAATCTGCAGTGCAAATGTCACATCATCGAAACCGAACATGAAGCAAACAGTGGTAAACCGAGGAAACACATTAGGTCACGAAAGGATGGCAGGTACGCCGGAATGGCCAATTCCGGTATCCCGTCTTGCTGCCTAGCTTTGTTAGACCAGGTCAGCAGCAAGACGCCTGGTCCCCCTGCAATGTGGAATTTCCGTCCGTGCTCCAGGACGCTTCACACACACGGAGCCCCAACTGGGGCGACATCACTTGTGCAAGGCCCATTGAGTCTTGCAAGCATCAATTGTGCGAGAAAGTCTTGTGGCGATGACTGACCACGCATACTTGGCTTTGGAATTGGTCTTAAGGGAACGGAGGAGTTCAATCTCTCCCTCAGTCCAAGGCTGCGAGGCTTCAGGTTCGGCCTCAGTAGAGGCATCAGTCCTGGTCGATGTGGTAGCTTCGCTTGGTCCACGAGCAGGTTTGGATGCCGTAGATCGTGAGGAGGCCAAATCACGTGTGCGGCGAGCTCGTTTTTTGTCGGGAGAAGACGGAGGAGGAGTGGGCGGAGCCCAATGATCAGGGAATTGTTCGTCATGATCAGTGGGAAGGTGTTCATCTGGAGCATCAGGAGGTGGCTCAAAGAGGTCCTCGAGGGGGGCCAGGAGGGGTGTTGGTGGTGAGTTGGTCAGGTCCTCAATGGCGGGGTTGAGCGTGGCCTCCGGTGCCAAATCAGGTTCGGCAGGCGGACTCTCAGGGAACTCGCGGATGGTGGCGATGCCTTGTTGGGCAATGCCAAGGATGAGTTCGAAGTCTTGGAGCAGCTGGCGTGCTGTGTTGGTATCCATGCTCGTAACGGATCTTGGTCAAACAGTCAAACAGCTGCGGCACGAAAATCAGGTCAAATCTGTCAGGGTGCAAAGGCAGAGAAGAAAACCAGTGTGGTTTCGCAAAGGACGGTTTTCTTCTCTTTGTAAGGTGAAACCGTGTTGGAGGTACAACCTCTTCAACATTGCAAGATCCTGATCTCGCTGAAATTCAGGAAAGGAAACTCGGCTGATCAGCGTGCGTCTGGAATAATATCCAGATTCCTTATGTATCATTGGTGCGGCTGACTTGACGGAGAGCATGTTGTGCTTCTCATGCGAGGGGATGAAGGAGATGGTGCTGCTTGTGAGGTTCAGTCGGAACCCCAAGAAGTCCAGGGCGGCTTCTGTTTCCAGGAAGATGTCTCCTCCATAGAAGTGTTCGTCGCACAGTATGTTGGCTGCCGGAGTCGAGAGCCACCTGGGGGTTGCGATCACGAGTCTGTTGTCCACGTAGCGGAGCAGGAGAGTATCTTCAACGGAGCGAAGTCCCGATGTGATGTGAGTGTTGGTCCAACATTGTTCGGCGACCGCGATCACCATCAAACAGAGAGCTGGGGACGCGGGGGATCCCATCGGTGCCCCACGTGTTTGCCTGAATGAACGAAGGCCGACAGAGAAGATCTGCATGTCAAGGGTGGCCTGAATGATCTCGGGGATGTCGTCGAGCCACAGGGTGCGTTGTGTGGGTTTGTGTCGGCGACGGCGTCCGTTGTAGACGCGGGTGATGGCAGAGGTGTCAAGTGTGTCCACTGTGAGGTGTGTGGTAGAGGAGTGTGGTTGTCGTTGTCGGTACCAGGTTAGCAGTAGTCGCCAGGCGAGGAAGGGTGCAAGCATCGGTCTGGAGGGGCCAGGTGGAATGAGGCCCCGGAATTGTAAACTGGATCGAATGGCGGAAAGGCATGCCTGGTGGTGTGGTTCAGGCAGGTGTGTGGCTATGCGATGAAGGACATAGAGAGCGGCGGGTGGGAAGTCTCTGCTCCGTATGTAACGGATGGCATCAAATCGTCGTAGAGTGTTGCTGCCAAGATCGCCCAAAAATCGCCACAAATCCAGGCGGTTGTCCACGCGTTTGGCCAGGAAGGCCTGTTGTAGGGCGATGGGTAGTCGTAGTCGGCGGCGTTTTCGCCAGATGGTGGCGAAGCCCATGTGCCGGGATTGGGAGAAGTCCAATTGGCGTATGAAGCCCGTGCGTGGCCGGAAATGTTTCTCGATGAAGCCAAAATTGAGAGACGGTTGCAGTTCCTGGATGTAGAACTGTTCAGTGGCAAATAGGTCCGTTGCTGGAACGACAGTGTGAATGGGCACCGAGGTGTAGTGGTGGAAAATGTCAAAATGTGCCCACCACCGGACTGCCAGTTCGGCATTGACCAGATGATGTCGCTGAACTTGGAGTAGTTTGCGAAGTTGGCTGTGGTCCCGTGCCATGAGGGAGGTGCGAGTGGCTCCGAGGTAGAAAAAGGTCTGCCACTTTGGATGGCTGGTGAATCTCAGATAAACCGCTGAAGGGACAAGCTGAGAAGAGAAATCGGAAGCAGGGTTGTCCAGGCCAAGTCGAGTAAGCAGGGCTTTCAGTCTGCCGGAACCACAGGAGAGATGGCAGACGTCAAGTAGCTGAAGCTGTGCGAGTAGCCAGGAGCAAAAATGACGTGCGGTGACGTCATCGGTTGGGAAGAACCGAAGAGTGAAACGGAGGACAGTGAGAAATTGGCAGCAGTGGTGTTGCCAAAATTTGTGCTGCCTGGCTGTGCGTCGTTGTCGGTGTGCTGTTGAGAGTCACTGGTAGAAGTGACTCGCAGCGGCCAGGATGCGGCCCAAGGCCGATGACCCCAGTTTTGATAGGGTTCGCACCGGGATGCCCCATAGCACAGCGGCTCGTTCGAGTTGGGCTCTGGTGTCGGAGTCCAGTGTGGTTGCCCATTTTGCGCAGTCGTTGGACCAGCTTTTTAGGACTTGCTTGCTCTCTTTGCTGGTTTTCTGGGAGGTGATCCATCGCTGGACTTTGGTGTCGGAAATGTCGGGTGGGAAGTTGTTGGTGAGCCATTGGCAAACGTGGGGAGGTGGTTGGAGCAAGTCGCGGGGCTCCTTCCAAGTGGGTGGGGAGGGGAGGGGGGGAGGGGTCGGGGTGCCGCCGTGGGTGGAGGGGGCTGGAGGGTTGCCGCCGTGGGTGGGGGGAGCCGGGGGGGGTTGGGAGTCGTCTGCAATGCGAGTGGGCAGGGGTAGGGCGGGGGATCCGTCCTGCGGTGATGTGTCAGGTGTAGTCAACCGTGGTCGCTTCATGCCGAAGTCCAGGAGGGAGGCCTGAGATGGATTGGCTGGGCGTTTGTTGGATGAGGTGGGTGTGGGGGGGAGGGGGGGGGATGAAGCCTGCTGGGCGAGTTGGTTGTGTGCGTCAGCAAGCTGTTGCTGAAGCTGGAGTATGGTGGCCGCGGAGGCCGGATCGGCCGTAGTGGTGGGTCGGAGGGAGATGAGGAAGTCGAAGATCTTGCTGGTGAGTAGCTTCATGGCTGCTGGTTTGGTGGTCGAGGCGCCCTCCTGCGTGGCTACATGGAGGGCGAGGGCGTCCAGGTCGAGGTGCCGTTGTCGGATTTGGCTGAGTAGTCCAGCAGCAAACACTGATTCCGGCATCGACTTTGCGACAACGATGCGGACTTCGCCTCCGTGGGCGAGGTGACGCAACCACCAACTGTTCCACTGTTCGTGCATGAGGTGGAGGAGGGGGACGCGAGCGATGTCTTGTCCCTCGATGCCCATTTGCCGAGTAAACGCGGTGTGCGTTATGACCTTGGGCAGGTCGTACCCCGCGACGCGGGTGGTGTCGTAGTGATCGTCGCCAGGGTTGAACTCGGTTGGTGTTGGGACTGAGTGGACGGGTCGAAGGGCCGGGGGAGGTTTGGAATTGCGAGGCGGTGGAGGGGGAGGGGAAAGGTGGAGGGCGGGTGAAGGGGCCGGGGGGAGGGGGGGGAAAGGGGTTGCCGCCGGGAGGGGGGGGGAGAGAGCCGCCAAAGGAGGGTGGACGAGGGCCGGGGTGTGGTGGGTAATGGGGAATAGGTTGGCCGTAGGTCTGACAGGGAGTCGGATGTGTAGTTGGCGGTGTCCATGTCGTGGAAGAGCATCCGTAGGAAG